ACCACCCTAACATTCTCATTTTACTTATCAACTAATGTTTACACTGCACAATAGTAGAGGGCATCACAGTGAACAAGTGTGCAGTGAAAGCTTTTTCTAAGGTTTTTTACTTTTTTTAAAAATCCAGGTTAAAAAGTGCATTTTGGATCATTTTTGCACACTTTGACCCCTATTTTCTTGGAATTTCCACAGTAAAAGTGAATGTGACTTTGCACAATAGTAGAGGGCATCACAGTGAACAAGTGTGCAGTGAAAGCTTTTTCTAAGGTTTTTTACTTTTTTTTAAAAATCCAGGTTAAAAAGTGCATTTTGGATCATTTTTGCACACTTTGACCCCTATTTTCTTGGAATTTCCACAGTAAAAGTGAATGTGACTTTGCACAATAATAGAGGGCATCACAGTGAACAAGTGTGCAGTGAAAGCTTTTTCTAAGGTTTTTTACTTTTTTTTAAAATCCAGGTTAAAAAGTGCATTTTGGATCATTATTGCACACTTTGACCCCTATTTTCTTGGAATTTCCACAGTAAAAGTGAATGTGACTTTGCACAATAATAGAGGGCATCACAGTGAACAAGTGTGCAGTGAAAGCTTTTTCTAAGGTTTTTTACTTTTTTTTTAAATCCAGGTTAAAAAGTGCATTTTGGATCATTATTGCACACTTTGACCCCTATTTTCTTGGAATTTCCACAGTAAAAGTGAATGTGACTTTGCACAATAATAGAGGGCATCACAGTGAACAAGTGTGCGGTGAAAGCTTTTTCTAAGGTTTTTAACTTTTTTTAAAAATCCAGGTTAAAAAGTGCATTTTGGATCATTATTGCACACTTTGACCCCTATTTTCTAGGAATTTCCACAGTAAAAGTGAATGTGACTTTGCACAATAATAGAGGGCATCACAGTGAACAAGTGTGCAGTGAAAGCTTTTTCTAAGGTTTTTTACTTTTTTTTTAAATCCAGATTAAAAAGTGCATTTTGGATCATTATTGCACACTTTGACCCCTATTTTCTAGGAATTTCCACAGTAAAAGTGAATGTGACTTTGCACAATAATAGAGGGCATCACAGTGAACAAGTGTGCAGTGAAAGCTTTTTCTAAGGTTTTTTACTTTTTTTTAAAATCCAGGTTAAAAAGTGCATTTTGGATCATTATTGCACACTTTGATCCCTATTTTCTAGGAATTTCCACAGTAAAAGTGAATGTGACTTTGCACAATAATAGAGGGCATCACAGTGAACAAGTGTGCAGTGAAAGCTTTTTCTAAGGTTTTTTACTTTTTTTTAAAATCCAGGTTAAAAAGTGCATTTTGGATCATTATTGCACATTTTGACCCCTATTTTCTAGGAATTTCCACAGTAAAAGTGAATGTGACTTTTCACAATAATAAAGGGCTTCACAGTGAACAAGTGTGCAGTGAAAGCTTTTTCTAAGGTTTTTTACTTTTTTTTAAAATCCAGGTTAAAAAGTGCATTTTGGATCATTATTGCACACTTTGACCCCTATTTTCTAGGAATTTCAGTGAATGTGACTTTGCACAATAATAGAGGGCTTCACAGTGAACAAGTGTGCAGTGAAAGCTTTTTCTAAGGTTTTTTATGTATAAAAAAAGAATCATGTTAAAAAATGCATTGTGGCGGCCCATCCCCGCGGCTTCGCTTTCCTGTGTTACCGTAAGTAACAGCATAATGTGACACCCCTCTTTTTACGTGCGGACCTCTTTACCGCTGGTTCTGGAAAGCCGGACCTCTTTACCGCGGTCCTTTCCGAGCCCTTCAAGTTTACATCATCCATAGACCATTTATGTGCGGGGTTAAGGCGCCCTCTAGTGGACACAACACAAGGCAACTCAGACTGCTAAATACAACACGGAAAAGAAACATTATTATCACAGTATATTAAAAGAGTGAAGATGTAATCCTTCTGTTGTATGCACAAAACTGTTTTAAACCTGTATTTGAAGATTGTCAGATTAGAAGGAAGATTTTCAGGAAGATTTTAGCTGCATAAATCTGATGTGCTGCCTCTAAATGTTTGGTCCTGAGCGATCTGCACCCTGGAGTACTTAAATTTGTTTGTTTAATTCATGAATACATGTTTGAGGTTTAACGTGTATTGAACAAATCCATAACATGCTGTCTATGTAATCTTTTGCATACTGAGAGCTGATTGGCTGAGAGAGGGTGGTCCTAAAGATGAACGTGTAGTGATAAAACCTTGAGCAAGAAAAAAACTAGTTACATGGATTTGTTTATCTAGTTCTTATATTGAGGTTTAAAAAATGACTAATAAAATGAAGCATTATTACTTAATTCATGAATACAAAGAGAGCGGGATAAGCTTATTCCCCTTATCACAAATTATTTCACTGATTTTCACAGACATATTGGCTCAAATGAAAATCTACAGCTCTCTGTGTGATCAGTTGGTCATTTCTATAGCCACTGTATGTAAACGATGCTGTTGAAGTAGTCTCATATAGAAAATCAAATGCCAATAAATATTTTTCCGTTTTTAAACTGGTAAAACACAAATAACTGGTATGAAAAAACAATATTTCAATACCTTATAACTTAGACTGTGCATGACATTATTCCAATCACAGAGGAACGCGAGGACAGATGAGTGAGTGAGATAAAAGCTCATGTTACCCGCCTCCCAACTCCTCGTTTTTTCATCAGAATGACGAAATTAGAAGAAAGAGGAAGTGAACGTGCAGCCAGGAGACACACAACAGCTGAATTCCTCCAGAGTGGTTCCTGATAAGAGCAGCCAGAACTCAGGGTGGTTCAAAGAGCAGGTCAATACACAACTGGACACAACAATTCTATAAGACATTTGTGGATCTAAACAGGGAACAGTCTAGTAACATGCTTAAAACTCAAAAAATACACAAAATATATCTGGGTCAAAATACTGTATATCTGTTTTTTTGAATACTGTACTGTTTATATGCTGGACTAAACTAAAATAGGTGGATTTTGTGACACATTTCTAACAATAAATGGAGTTTTTCGAACCAGTGCTGTCAGACCTGCTCCTGTGTATTGCCCCGAGTGCCGTGGGCGGTCCACCCTGTGTTTGATCCCAATACACACACATACACACACACATACACACACACATACACACACACAGCACTGATGAGCCATGACCTGGAGATGTGGATTCGACAATAAAAGCGGCGGCAACTATCTCGAAATTCTGAGACTTTAAAGTACCAAACTGAATCAATCATTTTTGAGCCTCGCTTCCGTCAGTCTTCTGGTTTTCTTTGGCAATAGTAGTTCCCACTCGGGTGTCCACTCCAAAAAGGTCTATATGAAACGGAGTGAATGTGAAAAATACTTATAATAATTTCATGATAGAGTCGTTTTACTCTGACATTTCATGATTTAGAATGTAAAATAAATTCTTCAGTAGAAAATAAAAAAGGGTAAACAATTATATGCACCCATAGCTGCCACCAGAGAGAGGAGTTTTATGTATTTTGTTTTACGGCTGCAACCACAGTCACGGAGTCGCACAGAAAATTCACCTGAGGAATTGCTAAAAACCCCAGTTACCTAATGTAACTAAGGTTCTATGAATATGTTATATCTCTGGGAAGCGATGTTTCCGAGAGATATGCATTAGCGAAGCCTAAAGGGCGAAGCAATATATGAAATAGAACTAATATCTGGGCCATGTTTTTTTTAAAAGGCAGAAAACCCGAACTCTAAAATGTCTTAAACGCCTGTACACAACCAGACCCCCGCCATGTTTGCTAATTTCAACATGTTTGTGACAGAAGTTCCTAATATGAGCAGGGATGGATCTGAAAGAGAATAATCCTGCAGGGCCTTAACTTCTCTTTTAATGATTTTAATGTATATTTTAACTCTATCCTATGTTTGTAGGATTGCGAGCAAGGGACCAATGCACAGTTTACTTTTTGGATCAATAAAGTATTATCTATCTAAAAACAACACAAGATCTGTTTGAAGCATAATAAACATGTCACAAACCTGAGCCACATGTTTCTTCGAGCTCATGGAATTTTTGTACCTTGATTATGTTGCTATAGTAACCTCATAATGTGCTGCAACTACAGACGTCATTCACTGTACTGACACTGTATGTGGTCAAGTGATGAAAATGACAGAAGATACAGAGGTTTGGGATTGTCTCTCGTCGTTACGCAGCATAAACGTTTCAACCAGAGTTTTTTCAGCGTTCACATGGTTTTATACCAAGACAAAACACAGAAGCTCCCCTCAGCGTCTGCCAAAACGCCGTAGATAGGTTTGATTTGACCTTCAGAGCAAAAACATGGAAAAGTACAAGCGCATTTGTTGTAATGGCACCCCCAGTTTTAAGTAAGTAAGTAATGTTTATTTATATAGCGCAATTTACAGACCAAGGTACAGACCCAAAGCACTTTCCAATGTTCAGAGTCAGATATTGTTCCAATCATTCCACACACGGTGATGACAGAAGCGAGTCCAGAACACACTGGACCATCAGCTCCAACACCATCCATTCACTCTCTCATTTACATTCAGACCTATTGTGCATGTTTTTAGTGGTAGGGGAAACCGGAGCACCCGGAGGAAACATACGCAGACACGGGGAGAACATGCAAACTCCACTCAGAAAAGGCCCTGTTACGACCGGGATTCGAACCCAGGACCTTCTTGCTGAGAAGTGAGAGAGCTAAGAGAGCCACCGTGCTGCTTTAACATAATTGCACAAAAGTCTTATAAAAGATTCATAAAAGCACCAATTTACGTCACCTTCAGGGAAAATATTTTGAGGTCGACAAACTATACAATACTACTATGCTATATATACTTTCTAATCATTTTTACAAAATTTTCAGTGTAAAAAAACAAACACACAAAACGGCTTCAATAAAAAAGTGTTTAATAAAATGTCCAATAAATTATGTACAAAACCAGAATCATAAATAAATAAAATATACGTCTCATAATGAAAGTACTGTTGGGGTGAGCGTCGCAGGGGTCAGTGACAGCCGCACTCTTCCACCACCATGTCGTCATGGTGACGCAGGGCCAGGTCGTCGCTGTCGTAGTAGAGCATGGAGAGGGGCGAGAGGCGCGTGGGCACACAGGACGGGCAGCTGACCCGCTCGGGCTGATGGTGCCGCACAAGACTCTGTGTGAGGAGAGACACGGGGTCAATAATAAATAATAATAAACTTTACTTTATTATACCCTCATTTTATTCTGATTGTGTTTTTAACTTACTGATGTGACATGATGATGATGTGCACTTTATTGTCCCAGTAGGGAAATTTTTCCTCGGCATTTGACCCATCCTGATGCCACTAAGGCCCAGTCCCAATACCCACACTGCACCCTACGCCCTCCTATGAAGTGTGCATTTGTTTGAAGTGCGCGCAAGGGTTTGAGTGCACAGGTTACAGCACAAAAGGCGGAATTGGGACAGTGCACACTGAGTGCAGGTTACGTCATCGACTCGTCAAGAGATGGTCATTTTCAGACCTAAACTTTATAAACATTAAAGGTAATTTTGTCTGACCCTTTGGGAAACAAATTGAATTGCTTCACACACGTTAAAATACATGTATATTAGTGGTTTTTAGTTAGAGATAGCTGTATAATTTTAAGTTAAATGTGGGTAACTAACTATCTGGTCAGTTTTTATACATTCTAAGATTATTGTACTAAGTGTAAAGTTTAAATTGAATGTTATATGAACTCTTGCTTTAAAAAGTTATTAAATTGTTAAAACACAATGTCCGTAATTCTTCATCAGACGTTTATGCTTCTTTCCAAGTAACATAGCAAAACTTATTTACATACATACTGCATATATATTTCAAAATGTATATTTAAATGCATTTTCCCGACGTTTTGGTGCGTACCGCAAAGAATTATGGGCAATATCCTTCGCCAGAGTGCGCATAGATGCAGGCTACGGCGAAGTGTGGATCAGGGGCGCAAAGGGGGCGGGGCCAAAGACCTCCCTGGAGAATTGGGACACCCTACGCACTCGCACCCTTTATCGGGAACGCGCAAATGAGGGGCGCGAGGGTGGAAGTGCGAGTATCGGGACGGGGCCTAAGGCTTACGTCAGGAGCAGTGGTCGTCGTAGTAACAGCGCCAGATGGTCAGCACTAGATCACATACGGAATCGGGACGGAAGCGGAAGTAAATATAACAAACTACCTATTCATGCCTAAACTAAACCAGCCATTCCCATAAAATAACCCCAACCCAGCCTTAACCCTAACCTTAACCATCTTACTCAATCATGCTAACCTGCATCGTCATAACCTGGGCGGGGCTAACCTGCATCGTCATAACCTGGGCGGGGCTAACCTGCATCGTCATAACGTGGGCGGGGCTAACCTGCATCGTCATAACCTGGGCGGGGCTTACCTGCATGTAGGCGTGGTTGGTGGGACTGACAGACTCGTCCAGGGGCGCGGGACAGGCGCCTTCACAGCGGAAGGCGTTGTAGCGTTTGGGGTGGATGATCCAGGCGTCCCAGCCGATGACGTCAAAGTCCACCCACATGTCCACGCGCCTGCACAGGGGCCGGCTCTCTTCTGGGGCCCCTGTGGGTACGGCCCTGTCCACAATTCGCACCCGCTCGTTCACAGCTGCATGCGACAAAAAAATACAAACATGAGGCAAAAGATTGTTCCCTCGTCAAAACATGAGTGGTTTTTAGACCTAGATCGAGCCGAGACACTTTCTGCATATACTGTAACAAATATATATAATGTACAAATTTGTTCATTTCTGCACGTAATTGGCATTTTTGCATCAACATGGTTTAAATGGACAACCACAAAGTAGAGGTCAAGACAATGTTTATATGGTCCAAAATGCATAATGAAGCTTGGGTAACTCAACAACTATGGAGCTCAATTTAATTACATAATAAATTCAATTCAATTTATTTTGTAGTGCCCTCAATCACAACAGCAGCTGTCTAACTTTGGAATTTTCAGGTTTTTGAACTTCTAAAGTCCATGTAGAAAAGACAGACGATTCCATTTTAACAAAAAAAAGTCACGGTAAAACAGTTTTTGACAAGTATTGATGTAAATACTTATGAGAGCAAGAATTGTTCCGTGGTTTGAAGACATTTATGGCAAGTTTCAATGAACTTGAGCTTGAATTTAGATCATACATCTGTCACTGGCATTGGGCTTCTAACCAGATTGGCACATTACCACCGAATTCCTAATACAAGAGGAATTCTAGTTTTTTAATAATCCACAGCTCGATCTTACTGTGCTCTAGGCGGTTCCTCTTGCTCCTCCGGCCAGACTGCTCTCTGTGGGACCGTCCCGTGTACTTGGACTTCTGCACGGTCTGGATCAGGCTGTACGCTGGCTGCCCCACAGACGGGAGCTCTTGTCTGCAGAAGATCACCAGGGTCACGCGGTTTGTGGTCACGTAGGACACGGGCCTCTGCAGCCAGCTCCCAGACCCAGACCCGGCCCCGGAACCAGACCCCTCCTCCCCCCATCCCGCTGAACCCTCTCCCCGCTCCCTCCACTGTCGGATCAGTCCCGACACGTTGAAAAGCTTCCAGGAGGAGGTGGTGGTGGTTGGCCCAGTCTGGAGCGTGCCCAGCAGAGTGCGAGGGTGTGGGCAGGGCCGGGAGCTCTGGGGGGAGCAGGGGGAGTGGTACAGGTCCACACTGGCCTCAGAGGCGGAGAAGGCAGGCAGACGCACACGGAGCTCAGCCCACAGAACCCGCTGACCAGAGGGCACCGAGGACAGGTCGAAGGTGATGCTCCAGCGGGATCCCACCTGAGAGCAGCCTGAGGAGAACACAAGGCGGTTATTATCACTGTACACGCACACTGGAGGACACACAACAATCACAATACACAGGCTCCACACATCCATGTTTCACAATTCTGATTATAAACATGACACAAATTTTATCCACTCTATACTGAGTGATGGCCAACAATAGTTCATTCACTTAGAATCCTTTTGCCCAAAAGTTAAATGTGATAAAACTGGTGAGAAAGAAAAGCAGTCAGTGGAAAAACATGTGTCCAGACAAACGGTGACCATTGTCAAGGTTCCAGAGCACGTCTGCACAATGCAATCTGCTTTTATATGACTGAACATACAATAATATCATACAGATGCTTTGTGGATTCCCAGCTTTAGAACCTAATTATAAGAAATGAACTAATGTGACCATCATCACATCTATGGGTTTGTGTTTGTGGATTCAGTTTAAAATAAAGGGATATTATTGAACATGTTTAACTAGGCACAATTGTGTAATCAAAATAGAATAACCTGCTGATATAATACTGCAGGAGCTAACTAAGGGCCCTTAGGTCCAAGTGCGTTTGTGCGTGTCTCACAGAAGCTCAAACAAAAGTGCAGAAGAAGAAGTGCAGAAGTGCAGTGTTCACAAAGAGATATTCTGCTGTGTCTTTAGTCGTCCCCTGCCCCCGAGCTCCCTGATGTCATTTCAGCGATAGTGGTCCAGTTTATGTCCCCGCTGAACTTATGCTGTGGACATGACCAAATGTTGGTCAGAGCGGGGTGTGGACACAGGATGTGGATTGACCCTCTCCCTCCTCCTCCACCACAGCAGGCGTCTGAGGGCCAATCCACAGCACAAACACGGACCCTTTAAAGTCCAATCAGCATGTGGCTCTCGTAAAGGCCCTGATAACACCACAATCCACACAGCTCCATTTCACAACACAAACACATATTTAAACTATATGTATTCCTACGTTAAATGAGCTGAACTTAGGATTCCAGTAGTTTTTATTAGTTTAGCTCCATTTACGTGGTGCATTATTTACTTAATTGTTGAAAAAGAACCTTTTGCAGTTGTAGTTGTTGCCTCTTTGTCAAATGTATCATCTTAAAAGTCAGAAATGTCTAAATGTCAACAAATATATTCAAGTAAAAAAAAAGAAAGATTTTGACACTTGATCCACTTGAAGCCTGATAGGAAGCTAAGCAGGGGAGCCTTGTGAGTACTTGGATGGGAGACCTCTATAACAACAGGTACATGGCACTAAAATGCATTTCCATTTTGTTATTCAGAAATTAAAGTTTTGTTTCAGTATTAAGGTTATTCCTCTTCATGATGTTTTTGTCTGTGAAAGGTTAGTTCAGTTGTAGAGGCCGATGGTACAGATTGCCAGCCTCGCTTCACTCAGTCTGCCACAGGGCAGCTGTGGCTACTGTGATGGCGTACAACAATCAAATAGATCTAAAAAATGACATGACTTCAAATAAATTCCACCTGACAGACATTGAAAAAATGACATGGAAAGTTCTCACCTTTGGCTGTCAGACTGTGCACAGAGTCAGAGTTTGCTGCGGAGTCAGAAGCATTAGCATGAGAAAGAGACGATGTTTGAAAGGCCCGGTACATCTGCATCATGTACAGAGGGCATCCGGACGTCCCATTCCGCTCGCCAGCCCCGAGACCCGCAAACACGCTCAGGAGAACCAAGAAGAGAGCTGCTGAGGAGACCATGCCTGCTGCAGAGTCCGGGTCTAATGCTGCGAGGAGAGAGTGCAGACAGCCTTTATAGTGGACAGCTGTCGACCTCTGATCCTGCTCTGTGATCTGCTCTCATCACACATTCTCAAACACACACACACACACACACACACAGACAAACCTGGGACATGGCTCTATCCGCCCGGAGCTGATCCACAAAGCAGGTGGCAGAAACTGACACCATTCAATTGAAGAAAAGTGAGTGAAACCATGAATGAATATTGGAGCCGCTAATTTGACTTCCGGAAGTTGTTGAGCTGCTAAGACTGTGCATTTTACTGAATAAGGATCACGGTGATGTGTTGAAGCCTGTCATTTTAGTGCAAATATTACAGTCACAAATTGTATTAAGTTAGGCCATGAACCTTTACTCTGGTATTTATACTTTCCACACTGCACCTTTGCCTGAATACAGCAGTGCAATGGACTTTATAACATTGTACTTACAAAAAAACATACTTTTCGAACCATTGCATTCAGCAAATTAAAAGGTACAGTACATAGGAGAATTATCTATGAAGAAGATCAAAGTCTGGGATCGTGTCTTTCATTCAGACAGAAGACATGTTTTATTGTCGATGGTAGAGACAGCACGAACAACACGAACAACAGAATGCAAGTGTATTATACAGAGCGGAGGCATGGAGACCTCCAATCAGCAGCTGCCACGGTGCCCTGTAGCTTGGCCTTCAGATAGACAAAACATCAAGTGGAAAAGTACAGGCCTCTACACATGAAAGAATGAAGTTACAACTTTAACCATAGTTGCTTAAAAGTGTTATGAAATCACTACATCTACTGCCGGGTGGATCATCAAGACTGTTCCTCCTAATTGTCAATCATTCTGGTGATACGTGCTCGTCCAATAAGACCAGAGTTTTGCAAACAAAGATACCCTTTCTGTGGAAAAGTAAAAACAGGGTAAAATCTGAAGCACTCTGATAAATAAAAAGTCATTTAATGAGGGAAAGGGACCAACGCGTTTCGGTCGCGCAGGGCCTTCTTCAGGGCAGTTCTACTTACGTCTTTAACACTTGGACCCTGCAGCACTCACTCCTCCTGTTTTTAAGAAGACCAGAGTTTTGTTCAAAAAGTGGAGAGGGCAGTTCTTTCTTAACATTTGGGAAAATCTTCCTATATATCTTTAAGTATAACACGTTTACCCCATTCCAGGTGATTACAAACCTTTAGTAAGGAGGCACTTTAGTTCAGCTTTAAAATGAGAGCTGGTAAACATTTAAGTAAGTAAGTAGCTAGCTTAGGTCCTAGATCATTAGCCTGTCCGTCCGGAGGAGCGGATCCCTTTCTCATATGGGTCTCCCTCCCTGTGGGTTTCCCTAGTGCTCCCCAAGGTTTCTCACTTTTTCCCACTGGGTTTTTTAAGAGTTTTTCCTTGTCGATGCAGGAGGGTCTTGTTGGACAGTTAGTGTCCAACAGAAAGGATTGGTGATGATCAGGACACTTTAGCATTCTACAACATGTATGGACATTTTCTTCTGTGTGTGCTTTATATTCTTCATGTGTTTTAACTGTTGATTCTCTGACCTGTGTTGGTGATTTCAATGGTTTTGTTAAGTCTCTGAGATGACTTCTGTTGTGACCTAGGGCTATACAAGAATAAATTGTATTGTATTGTATTGTATTGTATTGTAAGTAATGTTTATTTATATAGCACATTTTACAGACCAAGGTCACCCAAAGCACTTTCCAATGTTCAGAGTCAGATATTGTTCCAATCCTTCCACACACGGTGATGACAGAAGCGAGTCCAGAACACACTGGACCATCAGCTCCAACACCATCCATTCACTCTCTCATTTACATTCAGACCTATTGTGCATGTTTTTAGTGGTCGGGGAAACCGGAGCAGACACGGGGAGAACATGCAAACTCCACTCAGAAAGGCCCTGTCCCGACAGAATTTTGTGACACAACTAAAAAAGTAAATACTGTGTAGTGTACTGAAGTTGCCGCAATTAAGCTCTAAATATCCCACTCTTTTAGAAGTATATATGTGTAAAAAAAAAAAAAAAGAAATAAATCATGTGGATGTAGTTTTGAAAATGCTTTATTATCAAAACAAATTTCTCCATCAGCCGTCTTTCATAAATAAACGTCTGTAAGGTCAGTAACGGTTATGTTTTGGACGAACTGAAAAACAGCTGAATAAATATGTCAGATATATAAAAACAGGGGATAATACTTCAGAGGAATGTGTCGCTCTGACGGGTTTAGCTCCACTGTCTCTCCTCCTCATAAAGAACTGAAGAAGTCCTTCACCTGCACCAAACACAGGGACAGGGGTCGTCAGTGGCACAGGAAGTGATGTCACAGAGATTATACGTCTCTATTGTTACTGTTATGTTCAAGACAGAGATTTTATACTTGTTGTTTTATTTTAATCAGTATAGCTATTTTCCCCACTGTGGGACAAATAAAATATCTCTTCATCTAAATCTAAATTCTCCATCTACCCACAAATATTTCCTTCTCCTCACACTTGAGATTTTAAAGACGTTAAAGATATTCTACAGTATTCTATTCTGGGCTGTTCATGAGGTCAACAAGAAGCAGCTTTTTCTAGTGAAAATAAAACTACATTTATCACTGCTTTTGAATGAAAAGTGCCCAAACATGGCTCAAAAAAATAACTACAGCGCACACACCGCCAACACCATGGATCATTCTGGAAAGTATCTACCAATATACGCATCTCAGCTCATCTAGTACTTTTGGCACTATGCTGCTTACAGACACACGGAGTCGATTGCAATACCCACTTGTTAGCAGGAAAATACCGAGGCTGTTCGAGGCTAACGTCCACATCTCGTCTCTTAAGTCTAATGTCTTTCCGTGTCTAGTCCTTAAAAATTCAATCAAATTCAATACAATTTTTATTTTTTATAATTATTGTCTGTTGTCTGCCAATAAGAAATCCCTTCGAAAACAGAAACGCAATGATAACAAAAACGTAGAAGCCATTGGTCCATTGGGGGCGGGATGACCACTGTCCATAAGTGTAAATAAATATTCATATAGAATTAAAGCTGCACTAACTCACTTTGTGCTGGGCTCGCTCCTCTGCTCCCCCTCCCCGCACTCACAAAGCTATCACCCCCCACTACCCCCCTCCCCCTCAGCCGCACACGTGCTAACTGTATACGGAGCTCACGTCTCATAATATGGATCGCACATCTGAACGTGGCGTGACCATAGAATGATAGAACCGGGAAGAATCTTTTGGCTGTTTCTCTGAGTAAGCAGGACCCGGTAACAAAGACACAGGAAGCTTCAGGTTAGCCTCCGCCGCTTGTTTACCTCAGCTGTCTGTGCTAACCACAGACCTGTGGCTTTTCTCTAGAAAGTGGGGTCCAGTGGTCCGCTGTGATTGGTCACAATCTGGTCCCAAAACAAATTATCTTCTTTGTTTCACAAAAACTCGATCTAAAATAAAATGACACGCCAGTACAAATCTGCGCTATGTTTTCTTCAAAAGAACGTATATCCCAATGCACTGCATGGATATGGACTGGATTTAACTAATGAATACAAAAATAAAGTGAGGCAATGCAGCTTTAAATGAACATAAGAAAAACTGGCTCACTGAATCTAAATCACTTTTGAGATGTGGAAATATTGCCTCTTATTCTGTTGTGTCGCTAATGCTTGACACACAAGATGGCGCTATAGGGCTGAGCTGACCTTAGTGATGTAGTCCTGTTGAACCTGGAGGTCGGACTTGAACTCTACACTGGCATCGAGCTGCAGCACAGGGGCCCGGCGCAGAGCCTCAAAATGGACCCTACAAACCATACGATAATATTGATGAAGACATTTGCACTGGTGGCAGACCTACTGAGGGTTAGTGGATAAAAGGCTCATACTCTGTGCTCTTGTCCACCAGCCATCTCTCGTGCTGAGAGTGGAGGTTGTCCAGATAGTCCTGCTGCACGGCCTGCTCCTCTGGGCGAGCTCGGATCTGCAGCCGCTCCATACACGTCTAACAAAACACAAACACACACACTGAATACACACACACACACACACCTGACACCTATAATTATGACTGCAAAGCTTGTTATTCTTTTAAATATCACAGGAAAGTGCCAAGTCCTTATTAAAATGCAAATCAGTGTCAGTTGACATGGAAACGGTTAGGGTTAGTGTAACTAAAATGTAAACTATGCCATATAATAGTTAGCATTAGTGTAGACTTTAACATGCGTAGCCCTATGGTCCAAACCTGTGGAGGGGCTCGCAAATAGATGATGCCCTCTAGCGCCACCCTCTGGTCAAACTCTTCCACCAGCAGCGAGTGCCATTCCTGGTAGATCGCCCATTCAGTGGAGTTAAGGAACCCCAGCTCGAAGGAGTTCAGGGCAAAGATGTACCTGCAACAATATTTAGGGTTCACAAAACAACATGACGTATAGAATATCCTTCTTTTTACTACGCTCTTCGTGTACTTGGTTCATCTGCAGGCATTAATAAAGTACAGCTACATGTACTCAATAGGGGTTCATCATCTACAAAGTCATAGTGTTATTAAATCAGATGGAAACAGGAGACTGGGCATGTACAGTGTAATGTACTGTGACATACTTGATAGACATCTGTAAACTTATAATTCACAAATGTTCACTAAAATGGCTCCAAACTATATACATAAAAACATACAGTTTGTTGATGGAGACATTTTATGTGAATAGTGTCAGTAATTATTATCAGTAAACCAGGATAAGGAAACACAATAAGACGCCAACTTGGATTTTGGCTGCATCCAAATTCAGCAAGACCAACTTCTTTGTCCTGGCAGTGTTTCAAAGGGGATCTTTCATGAGAGGTTTTGGCAGATTTCTTCTGCCACTTTTGATTTTTCTTTGCCAGAAAGACTAATAAATATAAGAAAGGAGGAGAAACCTTTCTTAAATCCATTTTGTGGTTGTAATATTTTCTACTTAAGGAACTGGCCACAAATGTTTCAGACCCTGCTACTTCTGATCTGAATGTAGATGGGTCTGGCTCGCTAAACTCCCCACTTTGGCACCTGTCACTGTAGATGGATCTCTCGTAGACCTGCACAGCGCCCCCTGGTGTCTGCAAGAGGCGTGGGGCCGGGGGCTGCAGCTGTGTCTTCATGCGGCCCATGCATGAGTGGCTCTGGAAGGTGTAGGACCAACGCTGTGGGTCTGAGTACATCATCTGCAGCAGGTTACTCACTGTACAGCTCTGCAGACACAAAACGCACTGGACTGTGAAAAATTAAGAAGAGCTAAAGATGAGTCCTTTAGGTTTAAGGTTAAAGCCGTGAGTACAAGTCAGGTCTATGGAGACGCCATATCACAGTCAGGCTGCACACATGTACTATTCATTTCTTTGGATGGGACAGTGTTTACTAATAAAGAGCTAATTTTGTAGACTATATTCAGCTAACCGCTAGTTTCTATCTGTAGTCCCATGGGATGGGGACAGTGTCTACTTTCTGGATTCACACTGAGGGTCAGGGTCTTCACTCACCCCAGGGGCGCCACTCTGGATGTTCTGCCATTTTCTGACTGGTTCTGCCACCACCTCCCAGTCCGGACAGGCCGACTGCAGCAGGCAAGCAAACGTGGACTTCCCCACCGCTGCACCATCACAAACATTAGAATAAAATGTTTTTGTTAAACTGTTGTGAGAGTTGAACATATGAGGGGAAAATCATGTCAGATGAAACACATCCGTTAAAACATTCTCCACAAATAATAAAAATCATACTGAATAGTCAAGAGCAGCATTGCCATGGAAACAAGCAGGAGGCCCTCCTCCAGTACAAGTCTGGTTTGAGTTGATAAAGCCGCTCACACTGAGACTTTTTACAGTGCCGTAAAACAACCAAAAATAAAAGACTTTCTGTTTGTTAAGTCTACTTTTATAATAATAAAAAGAAAAATGAAAGTGACATACAGAGATTCAAAAACAAAGTGAAAAGTGCAAAGTCTTTAAATGTAGTCCAAAGCTTTATTTCGATTTCTATATTACTTTCAAGGTTTCTCCACAATAAGCAGGTCCAAACGACAATGGCCGCCCTCTGTCATTTTATGTAGCTGTCTGCTTTGCCAAGTAGTCTTTTGAGATCATAAACACAAGTTCACAGTGTCATCCAGCCAACTTCAAATCAAGGTAAAAGTTTTGTTTCAGGGGTTGTCAGTCCCAGGACAAATAAGTTTAACTAAAGTGGTGCTCTTAGTAATGTTTGGACACCCCTGAGTAAAAAACTTAGACATTAGACAAAGTAACACGAGATTAAGACTTAATCTCAGTTACTTACCAAGTTTGTGTGAGTTCTTCCATCACAACCTGACCTCTGGAACTGTAGCATCTCTGACACATCACAAATGAGGTCCCAGTCATTTCCTCACCTATGTTGCCCTCGATGGACACTCTTTTGACTCGGGCCTCTCCCCGTCCAGTGGCGGCTGTCCCACTCGCACACCTCCCCTGGGGCCTCCGGACCGTGGAGCAGCTGAGGGGCACCGCCTTCTGGATGTTCATGCTTTTCCATCCACAGCGGAGGACCAGACCTCTCATCCACATCCCCAGACCGTGCGGAGGCTAAGCTAACGGCTAACGATGCTCACGAACCTGCTACGGCCATGTTAGAACCATAGTTAGAACCATGTTAGAACCATAGTTAGAACCATGTTAGAACCATGTTAGAACCATAGTTAGAACCATGTTAGAACCATGTTAGAACCATAGTTAGAACCATGTTAGAACCATAGTTAGAACCATAGTTAGAACCATGTTAGAACCATAGTTAGAACCATGTTAGAACCATGTTAGAACCATAGTTAGAACCATAGTTAGAACCATGTTAGAACCATGTTAGAACCATGTTAGAACCATGTTAGAACCATGTTAGAACCATAGTTAGAACCATAGTTAGAACCATAGTTAGAACCATAGTTAGAACCATGTTAGAACCATGTTAGAACCATGTTAGAACCATGTTAGAACCATGTTAGAAACATGTTAGAACCATAGTTAGAACCATGTTAGAACCATGTTAGAACCATGTTAGAAACATGTTAGAACCATAGTTAGAACCATAGTTAGAACCCGAAACAGGAAATCCACACATACATGTTTATGTTCACTCAAATCAGACACGGGAGACATGTAAACAAAGGCACGCGCACAGGATGAACCGATGTAATGTTGCTGATACTTCCGGTATCCGGTGAGAATTTCACAATAAAAGCCGACTTCAGGTGTTTGTAGTTTTCCTGTAAATAAATTACCAGCGATAATGTTGTCTCTGCACCTCTTTTTATGTACATTTCAGTCACTCTTAACAATAATCTTTAAGCATTGTTTTTTTTGTTTTTATTCATGGACCGTTATATTTTAAAGCGATAGTTTGTAATGTGCAGTGGTCTACTGAATGGTTCCCAAAATGTTTTGCCTCTCCAGCGTAGACAGGGCACCAGTACCATGGATCTATAACCAGTACCCCTCTCACATACCCGAGGGCTGTCAGACTCATTTGGTTTGGGGCCATGATAAAACACATTGATTGGAGGCAACAACCTTTTTAGCTCAGCACATCTTTTGCATCTGATTTGTATTTCCTATCTACATCATGTCGGTTTGACAAAATGATTGCTTTTATTTAGCTTGAGTTTTAGATTTTGAACAAATGCTTGGACTGAACCAAAACTTGAAAAAAAGTAAGAAGCCTATTATTACTATTTGCATTATGTGTTCAATATACTAACATAAATTGAACAGAGTGCCTCAGACTTCTTTTTCTCTTTTCGACATCCTAAATCTACCTCTTGTACCCTCTGCAGCACTCACCTTCCTTGCTTTAAACTATACTAAAATAAATGACGTACTTTTTTTTTTTTTCAAGAGAATTATAGCTTCAAAATGATGTGTCGAAGAACCTTTCAAAGTAGCCCATAAAAACCTATAACTCATTCCCCCACGTACCCTAGCGGCCCACATACACCGAGTTGGAAACACTGGCCTTTTGTTTATAATGAAAAAGATAGAAAACAAACTGGCAACCCAAATAAGAGGCTCATTCTGCTCTCTGATTGGATAATCTTCTTGAAAATCATAAACATAAATACTGCGGACATCATGTTCATTGTATTTATAATTAATTAAAATAATTCATAATTGCACTTTAAACTGTTGGTACATATTGACATATTATCTGGGGAAACATTCATAAACAATACCCACTGTCCTTTTAATAAATGATTTTAAAATATTATATTGTTTAATTGTCATTGCATGAATAACTATTGCGTTTCCTGACAAACTCAGACACATAATAACTTACATCACCAGCTCTCTCAGAGTTTGACACTGTTTTATTGATGAAGACTTCAAATGTGATCAATATATTTTTTTGCAATAAAATAATGTTTCTTCCTTTAACTCTTAAATCCAATACGTGTCATGTATAATTATTTGGAGTAATACAAATAGGTCAATAATAAAACTAACAAATATACGTAAGAGATAATATGAATTCAAATACAATTACTTAAAACAATTGTGCCATTGTTTAACGTTATAAAAATGTTCCACGGCCCACGGTCAATAGCTCACACTCTTGATGGCAATCTTCTGAGACGTCTCAATCTTGTAATCTCCAATGCCTACAAAGACACAGGGGTGAGAGGAATTGTAAGAAAGTGTATTCAAATCAGACAAACATATCAATGAGAGAAATGACTAGTGTGGAAAATAAAAAGTGATTTTGAGAAGGGCCGTTACTGTTTGTAGAAGTGATACTGACCCTGCGTTAGTGCAGCGCCCTCTGCTGCCAGCTGCCAGTATCTGCGGTCACTCTGGCGTGCCTGTTCTCCGTTGACAACGCTGAGGAAGGGCCCCCACAGACTAGACTCCACCTCAAACCTGTGCACAGAACACAGAACACAGGTGAGCCAGTCCAAATGCTTCAGCAGAGTCTGTGGACAGCTGCACTCACGTGAAAGCAGGGTCCACTGTGGTCTTTGTGCGGAGCAGCTCCAGCGCCTGCAGCAGAGAGCTCCCCTGAGGCACGCTCACACTGTAGCTGCTCTCTGCCCCCTCCCAGCTCTGCACTGACACCTCCACGTTCACCAGGGGGCGTACCGGGACCTCCACCACGGGCAGGGGCAGCTCCAGGACCAGGCTGTCTGCTCACACGCACAAACAGTACATAAACACAAACGTTATACACAGGCTAATGTGTTGACCTTGTAAACGTGATGCAACAGTAAGTGCGTTTACAAAGCTTAAGAATAGAGAGTACGTTCAAAAACACACTCAATTTGTTGGAATAATCAAACTGTAGAGGAGAATTCTGATTTCACTCTTGCTTTGTAAACAAGTAATACTATATTTAATCCATATTATTTCATGTAAACAGATACTCTCGTGGTAAAGGTGTGTGGTCTCTCACCGGCTTCTGTGCGGCACTGCTTGTTCCGGATGGAGACGTAGGAGCGCAAATGAAGAGCAGGCAGGCTCTGGGACAGGGCCATGGGGCTGTGGTACACACTGTTCCGGGCACTTGTCCTTATGGCCTCCAAGGACACGGAGCACTCTGAGATCGGCTGACCCATCGCCAGTAAGGCCTTAGAACACACTCATGTCATCACAATGGCAACGGACTGGGGGAAAGTTTATGTAAAAAGTTGTAAAAGAGGTTGATTTCAGAGCCCCTGGAGTTTAAACAATACAATCAAAAAAATTCTTGTATTGCCCTAAATCACAACAGAGGACTTAACAAAACCATTGAAATCACCAACACAGATCAGAGAATCAACAGTTAAGACCATAGACTGTATATATTAACGGACGTAGTCACACCTATCTCCGCCGTTCTAACTAATGGGCCAAAAATTGGGCTCTCATGGAGTGATTCAAAATGGCCGTGGGGGCTGGAAAATGTGAAAAAAAAAGCATCTACACATGCGTCAGCTGCACGAGCTCCATTCATTTAAATGAGAGACTTCAAAAATTCACAGAGAGTAAACTAGACTGGTCCAGAACACTCCCTCAGCATTGACACACATGTGGAACGGAGCTTTGGGCCAAGAGCCAACTTTTGGACCATCCTGTAAAGACGTTTTTGAGAAGTAAGAAGATGCTATATGTTAGCATTGGCTAATTCTTATTCCGGGTCCACCCCCATCGGCCCGGGGTAGTATTGCAGCATGTCAGCGCACGTCATTTTGGCCACTTATGAGCCGGGACCCGCCCCCCACTGGTTAAAAGACATAAAGAATATAATAAAAATAAATATAAACCCAGTGTTATTCTCATTTAGTTCAGAATAGTGTGTTTTACATTTGCTGATCTTATAAAAGCCTCTTTACAACACCGGAAAAACACTGCCTCACACACTAAACGACACAGCCGGGCGTGTCAAAAACCATGGCCTTCTCAGTGTGAAGCCCAGGTCTCCAAGTCGTCTGTCCAATCAAATCAATGGCCTCAAAAAAGAGCATTTTGTTACTACATGTAAGTCACACTCAAACCCTTGCAGTGATTTTGAAACCCTGCAAAATCCCCTTATAGTGAGACGTACTTGGACAGCCAGGCCAGTGCTGAACTCGTTGCCGATGTGTCCGTCCGGTCTGCGCGCTGCCGTCAGTTTGAGCTGGATCCTGGTGAGGGCAGCATTGAGCTCGTTGGCCCTGAGGACGTGGGCCCCCGAGTCTTTGACGCACTGAAGGGCCATTGCTGCCATCGCGTACGAGTCTGACGGACACAAGGATACAGTCTGTTGGCAATAGCACCAGAAATAGGCGCTGGAATATTAAAGCGGCTGTACCTAAGTTTAACTATTAAATCAAGTGTATCTAACTGCGAACACATTTAAAAAGAGACAACCTCCGTCACTCAGCCAATCAGATCTCATCAGCAAGTTTCTTTCTAACAAGTTTTCTGATATGAAAAAGACATCATGGTGGGTCTGATTTGTTCGCAGAAGTTTGCTCTTACAAGACTGTTTCTTATGGACAAAAATACTTAGTTATTTATGGGAAAAAAAAGTTTGATACAGCTTAAATCAGAATTTAATCTAAGCCGCAATTTATTCACTGTTATTGCTGTGATACATAAAAGTGAGTTTCAGAGTGACCTTACTGCAGGCCCGGGCAGCGGCGCTCACTCACCCACACCATCCACCTCCCCTTGGTTCAGATGCTCCTGCTCCACAGCCTTCAGCAGCTTGTGGACGACATGGTGCTCGACCCGCACTCCTCCCACACACAGGCCCAGCACACCCAGGGAGTACTGGTAGTAGTTGGAGGAGGGTCGGTGGTGCTGGCTGACTGCGGAGAGCACAACAAACCAACATTTGGAGCCAAAAGGAGAGATGCATTGAAGGTTGTAGCAGCAGTGCTAATTTACACCTGTAGTTCCTGAGCAGGTTGTCGTAAAACACTTGAACACTATCCTCTCCTCTTTCCTACTTTATCCATCCATCCATCCATTTTCTTCCCTTTAATCCATTTCTGACCTTCAGGCTCAAAGGCCAATGCTCTACCAACTGAGCTACTTGAACACTATCCTCTCCTCTTTCCTACTTTATCTGTTATCATAATACTTTAGCTGTATTCTGTTCATTGCTATTCACCCGCTGTCCCAATGTCTGTTTCATGCCGTGGCGATGGGAACCGGTCTCCTCAATCGGCACCTGCGGACTGTGCTCCCCGGCCCGACTCCTGGGCTGCACCCATAGACTGTATACATTAACGGATGTAGTCACGCCTATCTCCGCCCGTTCAAACTAATGGGCCAAAAATTGGGCTTTCATGGAGTGATTCAAAATGGCCGCGGGGGCTGGAAAATGTGAAAAAACCGCATCTGTGCATGCGTCAGCTGCATGAGCCCCATTCATTTAAACGAGAGACTTAATAAATTCACAGCGACTAAACTAGACTGGTCCAGAACACTCAGCATTGACACACATGTGGAACGGAGCTTTGGGCCAAGAGCCAACTTTTGGTCCATCCTGTAAAGACGTTTTCGAGAGGTATGAAGATGCTATATGTTAGCATTGGCTAATTCTTATTCCGGGTCCACCCCCATCGGCCCGGGGTGGTATTGCAGCATGTCAGCGGACGTCATCTTGGCCACTTTTGAGCTGGGACCCGCCCCCACTGGCTGCACCTGTCTCTGTCCTCGTTCTACAGCCCGAGTCCTGGATCTATAGTCCGTTTGTCCGTTGGAGCAGATCCCTCTCTCAATGTGGGCCTCCCCGAGGTTTCTCACTTTTTCCTACTGTTTATTTAGGACACTCAACAACATTTATGGACATTTATCAACATTTATGGACATTGCACATCTGCCCCTTGAACCAATGGCTTTATATGTTTTTCATCATTGCATTTCTTGAGTTTGAACTGTTTGATGCTCAGATTTGTGGGTGAATCTTTCCCCCGTGCTGAAGACTGGTGAACACTGCTGACTGCACATGTGCAATAATGTCAGTTTGTGCAATATGGCCTCACACGTGTCCATTGTCATTTAACTTGTTGACCCATGTTGTTATAATGTTCTATCTTGGTTTCCACAAGCTGTGAGCCAATTAATGAATCAGCCTCATATAGTTTCAGATTGTACATCAAATTAAAAAAGTAAATGGACTTTTGAACTACTCTAATTTTCCGAGTTTCTCTTTCACATGAATCAGTTGCGTCCCATGGTTCTTATCAGTGACATAATGGTGGTAAATGAATGAACATCTTTAAAAAGCAGACGGTGGTGTAATCCCACTTTACGAGATTGTTAACCTGCAGAAAGGGCGGAGGAGGCTCTGAGGACAGGAATGTGACACTTTAAATGAAACTGATAAAAGACTGTTCCTAGAGGGGGAAAAGAATCTCCTCAGATGTTTTACACGTTTGCAATTATCATAAAAGGTGAAGCACTAGTTACAGAAGTGCAGAATCTGGAGGTCACACTATCTGGAGTATTGAGAGAGTTCAATGTTCTGATCATATACCATTATAAAAATAGAGTATGTTTACAAAGCATAAGAATACTGAGTACATTCGATAACTTCCCTCAATTCAATTCATACCAGTCTGATGAGTTTTGACCTCATCTCCATACGCTCCCAGAGATCGGGTCAAAGCTCCAGACCTGAGGACGCTTTTAATGGCGTTAAAATTGAAACTTCCTACCCTGGTCTTATCCATCCGTTCACTCCGCTCAATCATCATTTCACTGCATGTGACGTCTGGGTCTAGTCCCTGTGTTCGCGATTACAATCGGTTGAATTTCGACCGACCAATCAGAGAGCGCGGGAGGCGGGTGTTGTAGTTAGATGTGGGTGAACGGGCAGGTTGTAGTTTGGCAATGGCGAAAAATGCGTAATCCGGTCTGGTTCTATCAAGAAATTGAAGCCGGAGCAAGAGGAATGTTTAGCAAATGTAATCGCTGGTCAAGATTGTGGCACTACTCCCCACGGGCTCCGTTAGCGGCAAAGGAGATGGCTAAAGCTAGGCTAAATGCTAAATGCTAACAACAGACTAGGGCGCACTACATACGTCACGGTAAACTCAGATCCAATCGTTTCAATCTGCCAAAGGAGTTAACCCCTCCCACCTGTAAACGGAGTCAATGAAGTCAATCCAGACCTTAGTACCAAATGTAATGTGTACTATGGTGTGGTACGACCAGGCTAGAAACTTCCCCCTATTACTCAAACTTTGTAACTGTAATTTTAAATACAGTCGCTATCAAACATATGTTATTTAACCACAAATGCAACCACACCTTTTGTTAACTTTGGGCTTTTGATTCTCACACATGCTCAGCTGCTGCGGCCGAAATCAATGAGTTTTTGTGGCATTCTTCTTGTTAGGTTTTGTTTTTGAGTTTTGCATAACAAAAGAAAACAGGTGCAGTGAGGGAGATGCATATTGATCCCCAACAAATTCAATGAGTCGCTTATACCTGTCCAAATACATAGATTTCTAATACTAATTTGATTTTTCCCTGTGCTCTTAAATGGATCACTGCCTGATGTCCCATTCTAATCAGATTGACTTGTTTACAAGCAGCAGGACCTTAGAACAGACTGGTTTTTCACACAGAGAGACACACAGACACACACACACAGACAGACAGACACACACCCACAGGCAGACAGACACACACAGACAGACAGACACACACACACACAGACACACACACACACACAGAGACACACAGACAGACAGACACACACCCACAGGCAGACAGACAGACACGCAGACACACACACAGACAGACAGACACACACACAGGCACAGACAAACAGACACACACAGACACACAGGCACAGACACACAGGCACAGACACACACAGACACAGACACAGACACACACACACAGACACACACACACACAGACACACACACACAAACACACACACAGACACACAGACACACACGCACACACACACACACAGACAGACACACACAGACACACACACAGGCACAGACAGACACACACACAGGCACAGACAGACACACACAGACACCCACACAGGCACAGACAGACACACACAGACACCCACACAGGCACAGACAGACACACACAGACACACACACAGACGCAGACAGACACACACAGACACACACCTGCGATCTCGTCCTTCTCTCTCTGCATGGTGCTCTTCAGCAGGTTGAGCAGTGTCTCCGTCTGGTCTCTCATGGTGAAGGTGACGGTGCTCAGGTCGTAGCAGGACGACTTCAGCGCCAGAGCGTACAGGCCCAGCAGGCCAGGGGAGGCGGAGCTCTGGGACAGAGAACTGACGGACACACAACAACAACACAACAACACACTTTAGACATCTGCACTGAGCTTCAATGGATGTAAAGGAGCATGCTAATGTCTAATATAGTAGCATGTTTTCATCATTGTGTGTGTCTGTGTGTGTGTGTGTGTGTGTGTGTGTGTGTGTGTGTGTCTGTGTGTGTCTGTTTGTCTGTGTGTGTGTGTGTCTGTGTCTGTTTGTGTGTATGTGTGTGAGTGTGTGTCTGTCTGTGTGTGTGTGTCTGACTGTGTATGTGTTTGTGTGTGTGTCTAACTGTGTGTGTGTGTGTTTGTGTGTGTGTGTGTGTGTGTGTGTGTGTGTGTCTGTCTGTCTGTCTGTCTGTCTGTCTATGTGTGTGTGTGTCTGTGTGTGTGTCTGTCTGTCTGTCTGTGTGTGTGTGTCTGTGTGTGTGTCTGTGTCTGTCTATCTGTCTGTCTGTGTGTCTGTCTGTGTGTGTGTGTCCGTGTGTGTGTGTGTCAGTCATTCTAACCTATTCTAATGTATTCTATTGCCTCTGGCCTTTCCAGACGAACCAACAGTGTTTTACAATAATAAAAACTGATGATGATGTGACTGTCTGATCTATAACCTGCACCTCATCAAAAACACAACAATATTATGGCTTATTTTTTGGCCGTTAAAATTGAGACTATTCATTTCATGTTTTCATTTTTATGTTTATAAAAAAAGCTTTCTGCCAGTAACTCCCCGTGCATGTTTATTTGAGTGTTGAGTTTGAGTGCGTGTTGAGTTTATTTTGTCATTTCTCAGATGACATGTCATACATTACAAACTAGTATATGGACAACACTTTTGTTTTAAACGGCAAAAAGCATGATGTCCTAGTGGTGCATTTCCATCATAGTATTGCGGGACTGAGACAAGTTTGTGCTAGAAATTCCTGCTAATAGCGTGAATCGAGCTCAACACAACTCCAGGTCGGTTTTTGGATGAAGGAAAAATATTTAAACAAGAGACAATTTAGCATAATAAGTTTCCTGTAAGTCATGTGAGTGGCAGCCTGGCCCCTGACCTCTGGATGTGTGCGTGGAGCTGGCTGGTGAGGCGGTGCAGGTGGAGGTTCTCCTGGGCGTGGTTGTGCTGGGGGGACAGGCGCAGGGCCAGGTGCACGCTGGGATTGGGCAGTCCCCCTTCGGCCTCCACTGAGCGCAGCAGAGCCTGGTTCAGCGACACCAGGAGCTCACTGTTCGACCGGGTGTCTGCAGAGAAGAGGAGAGACCTGCTTTTGATATGACTGTTATTATTTGAAATGTACTCATAAATATACAGGGATTATTCTAAATGACTTGATTTCATATTTTTGTTTATTAAAGTCTTTTTGCCTATTCATGTTTTTTTTGCTGTGTATATTTTTTGATTTGTCAAAGTCCCATATACATCAAAATCATTTCTCGCTAAAAAAATCCTACTACACAATTAGACTTGTTCTATTCAGTCTAAATATATTGTTTTATCTGTCCAAGTTTATGCATAGTTTTAGAAAGTTTAGTAATTAGCCAACTACAACTTTGCTACAAGTTACTGCCATTACTGAAATATGTGGTTAAAAAGTGCCATGTCAGCATTTCAGGAATTTGTAAGATACACTTTTTAAAAGCAGAACACAAGAACAGAAAGCTTGGAAACTAAGACTATTTTCTACACTAAAACTTGGTAAATTGTTTTAACTTTCATAATTTCTGAAATGATAAGACAAACTGACCAATAATTACAAAATCAGTGAGTTTCCCAATACATTTAATATATGTATTGCTCAATACTGATGTAACAAGAGTTTTACTACCAGTGTTACAAGTTAAAATATGAAAACTACATTTAAAACTACGGGCAACTGAGTCAAAATATATTAGTCTTTCTATTTAGTCAACTTCAAACACATATATTTGTATTCGTCAGAGGGACTTACTACAGGGCTCTCCCCAGGTCAGAGCTGCCAGCGCAGACAGAATGAATAGAGGGATCATCTTTCACCTGAGCACAAAACACAACAGCACCGGTTTTAGAGATCATGATTCGGTTCTAAAAGTAACTTAATAAGCACGGTAATAAGAATATAATAGGAGTGAGTACCTGGTCCCTGAGAGGCGCAGAGCTGAGTGACACACGGGGCAGGAGAACAGGAGGACAGGAGGACTGGGCTCTTTCACTGTCACATGACCAGTTCTCGGACATCACAAAGCAGCATAAATTGCAAAACTGCCTAAACTGCGGGCCCACACAGCACATGGGCACGTGATATTGTAAACAAGAAGTGGGCGTAGTCCAGTGTCCATTCCAAACTGCATCTCAAATAAAACAACACGATGTAATTTACGTGAACTCCTTACATTGTAGTCTAGATTTGTCTTTTATTTCTGTAGTTTTGTGCGGGTATGCGTACATGTAAACAACATATTCAAACGCTATTGTTTTTATTCTGTGAGAACTACATTACACACGATGCACCGACTTCAGCTCTGCACGTTCTCGAAGCGACTTTTAATAACAGGAAGTGGCTGTAGTCCAGTTCCCGCATCAAGTAAAATAATAAAACATAACATCTGAGTTTTAGTGTGATTTTTTCATTATTACGTACTTTTTTTGCGTTGTTCTTGAAATTGTGTTGAAAATAATTGCGCACATATCGCGAAAAACATTTAAAAAGCGTACGTTTTAGTTTGACCAAGACTACATTACCCACGATGCATCAGTACAAGTTTGTTCTCGAAGCTTGGCGACTTTTCTGACGCTGCAGCAGGGGCAAAACTTGAGGCCAACAACCCTCACAGTGCACACTTTATGGTTTTTGCGGCTGATGTGATGGACACTGGAGGTTTTGGAGCAGCTAATGGCGTCTGTTTTGATTGCACGGATCAAAAGGCGACGTTAGCCTAGCTTACACCACGCTCCGGGCTAAAGTTAGCTCACGAGACGCCGCCGAGAGGAGACAGCTGCTGCAGGTCTGAAGTTTTTATGATTTGATGCTTCTTTGAGCTTCTATCCTGAAACGTTACGATGTCTGTGCCAGTTTAAACAGTTCGGTATCACTGTTTAGCATGGTATTATATTATATTATTGTATTGTGTAAATTCTGTTTTAAATAATTGTTATTAAACTTGTCTTTATTTAACATACATACTACATACTGGGTCTGCGTCGAATTGGGTACTTCCGAGATTTTGATAATTATTTTATGCACATATTGCTTTATGCACATGTTCATTTACGTCTATTGTTGTCAATATATTTAAAAATAGGGTATACTGACACGCCCACTTTACTGCTATCATATGTTACGAATGCAACTTCAACTTTCGATATCTTGGCACGATACGAACATTATTATATTATTGTCATCTCATGATCATTATATTGATCAATAATAATCGATTTAAAGCTGTTCACTTCCCCCCCATACGTATGCTCCTACTCAAATACATTGCGTGTACCAATCAGACATCAATTCTTTTGCATAAGATATAAGTCACTCTTTGACGGTTTGGGCTGAGAGGTTATTTCAGAGAGGCCATACATACATTCAAGTGAAAACAAGTGATAGAACCTGAATTGGAACAGTTATTGCAAAACCCACAGTCACAATTGACCGCAAAAAAACTAGTTTCTCTTTGCTCAAACATCCACAAACTACTATGAGATACTACTCTAGAACAATGAGGAACTAGTTATGTGGAGTTTATTGTGCAGAGTTTTTTGTGTTATGAAAGATGGTCTGGTTCTTTTTGCATGTATGAAATCCTGCCCTGTGTGGTTCATAGACTGGTCTCTGAATGCATCACCGGGTCCCTGCGTTGGGTCTGCTGCCCTCCATGTACCCCTTCAGTGTTCCCACCAGCCTTCCGGCGTTCGACCTGGGAACTCGAATCACGGCTCCACATCTGCACAAGAGAGACTTTTCCAGCAGGTATTGTCCTGTTCTGTAAATTGATTATGTCGATCGTTGTATAGTTGAAATTACGCGTTAAAATTTACAGTTTGATGGTCTGGCTCTCAGACCGTAGTTTTTTTTAAACAACAAAAATCTTGTTCAAATTTAAAAAATTGACCTTTTTAAAAATGTTTATGTAGGAAAAACCTAATGCAGTTTTTGTTACATTTATTAAATTAATTCATAATGTTTTGGTCCTTTTTAGTGACCTCTCCGTAATGTCTGCTCTTCCCACCTCCAGTTGGGAGACGAGGTGTCTCAGAAAACACCGGCGAAGAAGTGATGACGAGTAAGTGCTGACGTTTCATCTACTTTGTTTTTGTTTACCTCCTCATCGTCAAATGGTTCAGATTCAAGGTTTGTTCTACAAACAATTGGTGTCTTTTAATATAAGTAAGGGATAACGTATATTACGCAGGTCATTATCGGAAAATAAGTACCGACAGGGCGAAGCGGACCCCGACGCGCAGCGGAGGGGTCTGCTTCCGCCCTGAAGGTACTTATTTTCCGATAATGACCTGCGTAATATACGTTATCCCGCTTATTATACGGCTTTATACCAACAGAACACACCACATAAACTTCAGTCGACTTTTAGGAATGCCGAAAGGTTTATTTAATGAAAATGAAAATAAAATAGTTCCCAAAGGTTTTCCCGTGGCTATGCTAGTGCAACAGTTAGGCTGGCAACTTCCAAACTAGAACTCATTGGAACTGCATGGAAACTGAACAAAGAATTCTGAACATCAGCGGTGAGTGACCCATACATAAACCTAACCTAAATCCATAATTCGATCCTCTGAAAATGTGTCCGAAAATGTGCCGGTATCTACTTCCGGGTTTTTCGGGATCGCCTTTTCTCGCATTACATCAGTGTTTTTGTCATGAAAACGTAAACGGAAAATTCTGAAAACTTCCGTGCACTTGTATTAAGACTGGATATGTATAAATTACTCTCCGATTAACATTTCATTGCGTTGATTGATTGGCATTTGCGTTTATTGAGCGGCCGGAACTACTTCCGGGTTTTTCACGATCGCTTTTTGACGCAGAGAAATAGTATTTTTGTCATGAAGACAAGACCAGAAAATTCTGAAAATTTCCGTGCACGTGTGTGAAGAATGTATATGTATAAGTATTCTCTGATTAACTTTTAAATGTGTTGATTGAGCGTGGCTAGCTCCAGAGTGGCCGGAACTACTTGCGGAGTTATCCACGCATCTGAAAGACAAGCAGAGAGTGCGTTGCCATGGGCAGCGGTCATTATTGTTTTGAGAGGTCAGTTATAGAAAATAATGACCGGTAGAACGTTTTGAAATTACATTCAAATCAATGGAGCGTTCTCCTGCTGCTGTGAGGAGCCGTATAATAATATCAATTTAACTGGTGACATGTACTGTAGTGTTATGACTAGTTAAAGAAACTTGAATTATTAATTATGAATGTTCTTCTTACTCCATTGGTTAAGCATTTTTATTTGAGTAAAGGAAGAATATTATTAAAATCCTTAGAATTAAAGTAAACGGTCCTTCTCATTACTGCATGGTGACCGTCCCATGTGTTCTCAGGGTGTGCAGTGCCAAGCGCAGACGCCTCATGGAGACAGAGGGGGCGCTCTCTGAGTGCTGCGCTCCTCGTCCGTCAGCAGAGTGGGTGAGAGGGGCTTCCCCTGTGCCCCCCTCTGGTGACCCCCCTGTCTCACACGTTCCTCCTGCCCCTGATGACAGCACACATGGCTCCCACAGCGCACACATGGAGGTGGAGGCGGCTCAGCGGAGGCTGCGCGAGATAGAAGAGCGGTGAGTGACACTGCGCTGTGACACAAACATGTGCAGCAGACATTTACCTCCAACACTAAAACAAAATATTAATTTGCCATTTACTGGAGTTTGGGGTAATTGCAGCATGAGGCATAGTTTAGGGCAGGATATTGTTTCCCTCTAGACATCTGCTTTTACAAAGCAACAATCTGTTCATATTAGTTGTCATGTAATTGAGCCAATATTGCTGTAAAAACTACATTTAGCAAGTTATTTGTCTTCTTTATGTTTAAGGCTTAACAAGTCCTTCTTAATAGACATACTGTAATAACTGAGATGGTTTTAGTTGGATTTATGACACAAAAATAGGATATGAGCAACATGGCGCCAAGGCAGGGCGCCGTAACTTCTGCACATGTATTCCAACGTGGTGTCACAGCAAATAAACTTAATCTGAGGCGTTGCAATGATAATAGAATCACGCTGATATGTTTAAATCCTTTGGGTACATAAATACTGGTGGATTCTAGACACAGGCTGTTTGATGCTGCGGCCGGTGTGTGTCTCAGAATCACTCTGGAGGACGACTCTGACTCGGAGCTGGAGGTGGAGGTGTGCCCCCGCAGGCCGGTGCTGGTACTGTCTGACAGTTTGAAGGAGGGTCTGCAGAGGGGCCTGAGCGACATCCTGCCCCACACTGTGGCCCAGTCTGTGTACGTAAGCACTATCTACTGGATGCAGAATGTCCACTTCCTGTTTGATTATTGCATTGACATGTTCCCATTCAATTGTCCTTCAATAAAGCAAAGATCCTAGTTTTGATATGGATGGTGCACTCGCACAGTTCAGATTTATGTAGTAATAGTAGTAGTAGTAATCTTTATTTATATACCGCCTTTTCACTGCACAACGGAGTCTCAAAGCGGTTTACAATTGTTATTTTTTGGGAGTGGGGGTGCCAGTAGGAGGCACATGCCAGACCTATTGTACATATTTTTAGTGGTAGGGGAAACTGGAGCACCCGGAGGAAACCTACGCAGACACGGGGAGAACATGCAAACTCCACTCAGAAAGGCCCTGGTCCAACCGGGATTCGAACCCAGGACCTTCTTGCTGAGAGGCGAGAGTGCTATCCACTCAGCCACCGTGCCACCCACGGTGTACCGGTAATGAATATTTATCAAATCCGACATTCAAGTTTTTATGGACACATTTATTTTGGGGGGATCTTCAGTGACAGTTTCTATCCTGAAAGTATAAACAGTGTGAGTCTTTTCAACTTGCGATAATTCAATACTTAACACAATTGTATCATTAAGACAAAGCAACTTAAGAACTGGGTACTTGTGCAACAACCACTGAACCCTGGAATTACAATTTTACAGAATATGTAAAGATCTACAGCCAATTATGAGAAAGAACTTCACTCCAACAAATATGCTTTTATGCTCCAAGCACTTTGCCGCTAATACAGAAGGTAGACACTTGTCGCAAATCTCTGTGGGCAATGCGCAGGTAGCAAATAAGATTAAAGTTTGCGAGATCCTTTATTTGTCCCCAGTGGGGAAATGCATCGTTACAGAATAGTAGGAATGAGAAGCACACAAGAATAATAATAATAATACAATGCAGTAAAGTAAACCACCTCTATACTTGAAAAAAATCAGTTAACGATTGATTTCTCGAAAAGAAAAATGGAAAAACGTGTGGTTGCGATAATTACTTGTTACATCTCTACTTTTGCAACTGGACTGAACACAGACTGATACAGAGAACCAGCGGGATTCTTACAGCAGTCACAACATGCACATTACAGACTCTGCTTTTGTCTTTGTCAGGAGCCACTCGTGTATGGAGCTGGTTCTATGGCGGCCCCCAGACGAGCCCTTCAACCACAAGGCCCAGCAACAGCAGCAACAGCAGCATCAGCAGCAGCATCAGCATCAGCAGCAACAGCAGCAGCAGCATCAGCATCATCATCAGCAGCATCATCATCAGCAGCATCATCAGCAGCATCATCATCAGCATCATCATCAGCAGCAGCAGCATCAGCATCATCATCAGCAGCAGCATCAGCATCAGCAGCAGCAGCAGCAGCAGTATCCGCCCACCCCTTGCCCCTCGCCCGCCGCCCTCAGAGACGCTCCAGAGCCGGGCGAGGAGGACATGGAGATGTGATCCAATTTACATCAAGACAAGTTCTCACAAATGTCCCGCGGTTTGGGTGTTTGGACGCCTTCTATGGGAACGGATTTGAACCCATGGAATACTGGACAAGTCTTCTGTCACCAACGGACGAGTGCAGATTACAGTGTTACTCTACGGACCATCAGTAAGCTCCACAGCGACGTTAACGGACAAACTTATGTGTTCAGTTTTGTGACGACTAATGCCGGGGGGACTGGGGGTTCTCTTGCTCAGACTTGACTTTAGGTTCTCTTCACAAAACCACTCGACTGTTTTAATAAAGCCAGTTAAAGAAGAGCACAGCAGTCACCTGTCATGCTGAATTTCTCTGCTTTAAAATTGCTTTAGATAAGTTGTAAACCGGCATAGTGGTTCTGGGAGGAGGGCCTAATCATAGACTTTATATAGATGGACATTGCTAAGCTGCTAGCTCAATGAAGCCCAATAGGGATGTGCTCATGGATTAAGTTTTGTTACAACTAGCTCCAGCCTCCTTAAAGATTCCATGGTTTAGTATTCTCTCTTATCCTGATGTTTATATTTTTGATATTGTTTTTGTAACTCCAGATATGAGCCACATAAGAATTTGCGGGGTAAGAACCAGCTTGCCTTACCAACCATCTGAGCAACACGCCTGCCCTTGTTACAGCACAAAGCTAACCCTGTTGGGACAAATATTGATGGATAATTTGGCTGCATCCAGCTTCTGTTCAAAATGGCTTCTTCAGCACAGGCCAGTCCATTCCTGATATACAGTCTATGAGCCTAACATACATTTGTATTTTTGCACTGCTGCAGATGCCTGGTCCACCTCCCCTTGGTCCACCTCCCCCTGGTCCACCTCCCCTTGGTCCACCTGCCCTTGGTCCACCTCCCCCTGGTCCACCGTCTTTGCTCATTCTATTTTTTAATTCTGTTGTTTGTTTGAATTGTAAGCATCTCTCACTTTTGATTATTTAAATATTTGCCAAAAATGGACTCATCGAAGCTTGGTGCTCTCCCTGCTGTATTAATGCTGCAATTACAAAACGGAGACAGACTTCTTCTTTCCAATTTGCATTAATCTGTTACAGATTATTTTACATTTTGGGGACTTTAAGCAACAGATTTGTTCGAGTTAAACATTGAAATGGATTCATTATCATCTGGTTCAGAACTGTTTGGAGATTAAAGACAATGGAAATGTTATTGTGTGTAGAAAGACAAACACTGAGTGCGTTCACGAAGCATAAGATTAGAGTATGTTCAACAACCACAATTTGATGGGATTATTATCAAACGGGTCTGACGAGTTTTGGTCCAGTCTCATGGCGCTCTGCGGAGAAGCTGCTTAAGGCTCCAGACCTGAGGACGCTTTCACATGCGTCTCATAACTTCCCCTTATTATTAACTCCCGCCTTTTCTCGCCCAACACGTGCGGAAAGGGACTGCGTATTGATCTGAGACAACATTGGTGAAACGCCTATACCCGTCCAAATACATACATTTCTGTTACAAGTTTGGCTTTTCAACACCTCAGAGTGGACTTTTCTCACCTGAATTGGCGCTCACAGGTTTTACATGTGTCTAAATTGGAGTAGGTGGATAATCCGGCGTTCTCTGGTGCTTTTGTAAACGTACTCATTGTCACCAACTTGAATGGACAGACCGTTTCACTTCTGGCTGGAGTGATGCCTCGCTCTCTCTCGCTGCCGTGTAAATACCTGCTTCTGTTTTGCCAAGTGCGGTCTGTCTGTGAAGTCGGGTCTTCAAACATGAAGCCAGCGGTGTTTTGAGCCAAATGTTTTGTACTTTTGTAAATGCTGTGGTGGAATCACTGCAGCCATTTCACAATAAATGTTTCTTTGTTAAATTTGGTCTGGCTGTTTTTTCACAGTAGAGTGACCCGTTCTAAAGTGTATTATGAACAAGTAATGTGTATGTGTCAATTTGGGGTCTCCAACCTATAGCTTTGTAGTAGGGGTGAGGAAACCGGTTCTTCAAGGGCCGGTGTGGGTGCAGGTTTTTACTTTCAACCAAGCAGGAGCACCCCAGACTCCACCCATTTCCTTAAGTGAGTCCAATCTTAGCGTGAAGACCTGAGGAAACTGTTGAATTCTGGTTTGCTCCTCAAAAAGCAAAGGAGTGCTGCGTGGTACAAGTGTGTAAAATGATTTTAAAGACCAAGAGCTCAATTGGAAGAGGGGTTTAACTTAACAAAAAATTGAGTTTTGACTTTCCAGGTTAAAGGCAAATGGTGAAGAACTTGGAAAATGAAAAAATCCAAGGCACTCATGGTCAATAGTTTAGAAAGTTTAAAAAGCCTTTATTTTCTCATGGCTGTGGATTAAAATACGCGGTTCAGCCTCGCTTGGCCTTCTTCAGGGTGCAACATTTCTAAACTATTGACCACGAGTGCCTTGGATTTTGTGATTTTCTAAGTTCTTCACCATTTGCCTTTTACCTGGAAAGTCAAAACTCAATTTTGTGTTACTCTGGTGTGCTCCTGTTTGGTTTGAATTAAAATACCCAGACACACCTGGACTTTCTGGAACCAGTTTGCACCTGTGCTTTGGAGTTAGCAGTAGTTCACCAAGTCGCTCCTCTTACATGCCTTAAACCAAACGTATACTTTGCACAAAAAAATGGATTGTAGATTGTTTCACGGCCATCTGTCATCTAACTACAGTAGCTGGACTATAAAGCGCATCTGTAAATAAACAGCATCAGCTACAGATTTTCACACATATTAGCGGTACTTAACTCGTTGTATGCCATTGACGGATTAATACGTCGATTGCGTTTTCCGCTATTTTCATGTTCCCACGTGTCTGTTATATCTGATATGTATGGGGATAAGCTTGAGAGCATACTTTATCGAGCCAGCAGGTGGCAGCAGTGCTCTCTGAATGGTTTGAAAACAACTAGATGCACTTGATTTTAATGCTGGACAAAAAGACGCTAAACTGGACGGATCGACCAGTTGTCTATTTGGTTTTGTTTTGCTCCATTTTAACTGGTCACAACATTATTTGAGGTGTTTAAACGCATGTTGACAATCAAAGTTTACCAATCTATTCTGACAGTAAATGTGCGTCTCATCTGTACTAAAACTTGATGGAGTCAAAATAAAAATAAGTCAGTCCTTTAGTGTCTTGTTTTTTGTATTAGCATGTTGGTTTATTGTCCGATGAGTGGGAGATTTTCCAGTTGAGCAATGAAACGCCTGAGTGTTTGTACTTTTGTTTCCAGGGAACAAGTCGTTAACAAACCGTAAACTGCGTCAGTGTCACCGTGACCTTCATGTCAATCATTCATGTGAGCCGTGACGCTCTGGTTTACTGATGTCCTGTGAACACGCTGTGCTGCACTTCAGCTCTGTAACAACATGTGTGTTTTCTCCGTCTGCACCGGGGGTCTCCAACCTGTTGCTCGCCAAAGGATTTAGAAATGAACAAATCAAATAATATACTTAACATTTCAGATTGTATTATTCATCATCATTATTTATGCACTTACTTTGTCACTGGTAACAAATATGCAATGATTCATAATAACTGTATCCAGCATCAGGCTTGGCACACCAATAAATATATATATCATCCATTTTTCCCAGGGCCGCTTAAAGGAGTAGCTCTCTGCCTTTATTGTCCCGGGACAGTAGCTCTCTGCCTGTATTGTCCCGGGACAGTAGCTCTCTGCCTTTATTGTCCCGGGACAGTAACTCTCTGCCTTTATTGTCCCGGGACAGTAGCTCTCTGCCTTTATTGTCCCGGGACAGTAGCTCTCTGCCTTTATTGTCCCGGGACAGTAGCTCTCTGCCTTTATTGTCCCGGGACAGTAGCTCTCTGCCTTTATTGTCCCGGGACAGTAACTCTCTGCCTTTATTGTCCCGGGACAGTAGCTCTCTGCCTTTATTGACCCGGGACAGTAGCTCTCTGCCTTTATTGTTCCGGGACAGTAGCTCTCTGCCTTTATTGTCCCGGGACAGTAGCTCTCTGCCTTTATTGTCCCGGGACAGTAGCTCTCTGGGTGAAAAGGTTGGAGACACCTGGTCTACTCAAAACACTCATCAGGTGAAATCCTCAGGGGCTCGTCTCTGCGACTGTCCCTAAACATTGCTTTGAGGAATGGGTCAAATGCAGAGGATTCTCTACAATATGAACAAAAAACTAAAGAATAGAAAACGAAATAATTTGAATGAAAAGATTGTAAATGGTCTTAATTTAATTTAGACAATTACTGAGGGTTTTTAACAGTGCGCGACATGTGTTTGATACATATAACATATAATATTTATGTATATAAACTATACAGTACATGAACAATCGAGGTGATTTGAGGTCAAAATCAAATATGACATTTTCAATAAGGCAGAGTCTGGAAATGAAGCAAGAGAGGAAACAGAATCTCACATGGAGCTCTTCAGACTGCAGTGCTGCTGCTGGGCTGTGGGGGGCGCTGTAGCTCTGGGACTTCAGAGAAGATGTGTCTGAGGAGCTATTACATATTTGTTTCAGTCATTTTTGTGTATATGGGGAGAACACATTAAAAAGGGTATTGTCCTTCCTAATACCACCAAATAATTAATTCATTTGTTTTGTATTACTTTTTAAGTCCATATATATATATATATATATATATATATATATATATATATATATATATATATATATATATATATATATATATATATATATATATATATATATATCAATAGAAAAAGTTGACGGAAAGTAAATTAATCAGCAAATGGCTGATTAATCCAGTGGATGAGTCTTTTGCATGTGGTGCTAAATTATCTAAATTATCTAAATTATCCCAAACTTTTTAGTAAGAGCCACTTTAGTTCACCAGACTTTTCCAGGGTCCGACAACTCTGAATATAAAACTGTTTTGACTGGAGTCGGGCTACTTTGAGCTTTACAATGAGCTCTGACAGAGCTGAAGTTGATGGAATTTTGTGCCAATATTTAAAAAAAAAAACCCAGTATATACAACTGAAGTCAACATTTTTTGGTCACTTTAGGAGCTCCCTTAATATCTATCTATATCTTATCATCTTCATTCCTTCAAAAACCCACGACAAGATTCAGAGCTGTACCTTTCCCTCAGGAGCCAGTTCCACTTCAGACCCGCCATGACCTCCTTCTGCAGGCGCCTTTAACATATTTCTGTGAAAACCAAAACAGAGGCTTTGTGACAAAGACATCATAGTTACGGCGGTTCCATGTTAGTCCACTAGAGGTCAGTGATGAGTGTCAGGCTAAAGCAGGGGTTAGTGCCACATATTGACGTTTACCTGCTCTGCAGCACTTTGGCTTTGCACCTGTGGGACAGCAGAAAGTAGTCAGCCGCAAAATGTCCTCAGAATATTCTAGATCAGAGGTACCCAAATAAGCGGACTAGGACCACACTTTTTCATCTCCTGCAACTTTTTCCATTGCTGTTGTAATTCATGGTTATCCATAAAGATAAATTGAATTGAGCTCTTTCAATGGTTTGAAGACTTTTCTGGCTACAAGGAACTACCTTTTTAATTATTTTTTTTATCACATTGTTTCTTGCTTGAAATCACAAATAATGTGTTGATAAATGGCGCCTCAAATGATTTAATGCAGCGCTTTGCCCAATGTAAGAATTCACATTTTACTGCAGTAATAACATCCTGCACAAGTTAGTGAGGGACATTCCAAGAACAGTCTCCATGGCAACTACCGGAGCGGACCCCACGAGAAAAGCTGCACTTTGCTCCTTTGTCATAGACTTTTATATCGCAAATTCTAACAAGGACACCTATTTTCACAGTTGACACGGTGAATAAACTTCCCCTGCTGTTCAAGGTTAACAATCCATTTTCTCAAGGAGTATATTGTACATGTTTTTAGTGGTAGGTGAAGCCGGAGCACCTGGAGGAACCCCCACTCAGAAAGGAGGTGTTAAAGTTGTTTTTTTCTTTCCTTACTTCGTTTGTTTTGTGTAAAATCTGCTGAACCTTGTGCTTAGTTCAAAACATGCTGGACAATGTGAAACTGATCCTCAAATAGAGTAAATTAATAATATAAATAATAGCGGTGTCAAGGGTGAGCTTAACTTTAAATCTAGGACTTATGGGAGCACTTGTTGAATACATTTTTTCTCTCCATCTGGATCCACAAAGCTTCAGTGACTCTAAAGGACAGAGATGGAGAGAGCACCTCTGCAGCTCCGCGCTCAGCTGCTCCTCGTACTTGCAGGCGATCTTGTGGGCAGTGAGCTCCTTCCATTGGGTCATGTTGGCCTGCAGCTGCTGGAGCTCCGAGTCCTTGTCCCGGAGCCGCTCCTTCAGACGGGCTAAGACCCCAGCGGAGGTCCCCTGTGTCTGCACACCACTCTGCCCTGCCGTGTGGACCTGGACACATGCAGAGATTGTAGCTTTGTCTGTTTCATCAGTTCTAATCATGTTTTAACGTGGTTCAGCCAAATTATCCTTCAACTATAGCCCTGCTGTAAGAACACAGTTGGTCAGTCCCTGAGCTCACCTGCAAGAGGCGCTGTTGGTCCTTCTCTGTCCACAGCTGTTTTTTCTGGCATCTTGGCTCTCCCTGCTGGACACATTTGATTTAATCTAATATTTTTGTACCAGAATATTGTCAAGGACGATCTTTTGCAAGAGAGTTCTGGACATTAGATTTTCACTTGGGTTCTCTAATGGGTTCACTGATTTGCTTACTTTGCACACTCCGGGAAAAGCTCTGAGGTCCTCTGACCAGCTTCTTCTGCACTGGCCTAGGTCTAGACTAAAGACCAGAGGAAACCGAGCCTTTGCTGTGGCAGGGCCCAAACTCTGGAACGCTCTCCCTTATTGTATCAGAGCTGCCCCATCTGTAGAGAGCTAACCCTCTGTAGAGAGCTAACCCTCTGTAGAGAGCTAACCCTCTGTAGAGAGCTAACCCTCTGTAGAGAGCTTTACTGTGAATCACAGCTAAAGACACATTTCTTTGCTTTGGCTTTTTAACTTAAGCAATATTGACATAAACATAAACATTTATGACAGTGTCCTGCCTTTTATTCTTATGCTGTATCTTATTTGTGTGTTGTATTTTGTAAAGTCTGGTAAGCACTTACCAGACAGTCCTGTCTGTTTTAAAATGTGCTATATAAATAAACTTGACCTTGACCTCTAAACTCAATCAAGTCCTTTAGTTCAATTGTTTTGTCTCAAGTCTTACCAAACTAGATATTACTTTAATTTGACCAACTCAGGTTCACTTGGTGCAAAAATGCTTACTTTGTAGAGATGTGAACTGTCACTGGCCCAGTAGTCAGGTCAGTCTCAGGACACATGTGCAGGGTCAGGGTCAGGGGTCAGGGGTCAGTACCTGGTACATGTGGTTATCGCTGAGCTGCAGTGACTGGAAGCTCTGGAGCTGCTGTCGCACTGACCTCAGGGCCCAGAGCGCCTCCTCCACTGTGGGACTGAACACAACACTCACTTTGATTCTCCTTTATTTAGTTGAGGCACTGGGAATGTTGTAATTGTTCTTTGATTCATGAAAGTAAAACAATTATAGTTACATGTTATAAAGTTAGTCTGGTATAATAAATGAATCAATCTAAGATCATTCGTCTTTAGAACATAAACGTTTCAATGAAGTGATGGCCAGTGTCAGTATGTTTTAGTTGTTGAGTGTGTTTGAGTGTGTCGGACTTGTTCTAGCGTGGCACCTCTGTGGGAGCTCTTTGGGGCCCCTGTGGACTGGGAGCAGCTCCTGCAGTCGTCTGACCTCATGCAGCAGCTGCAGAGCCCAGTGTGAGGCCCGCTCCTCCTCCTCGCTCCTCCTCAGGGTGTTCTGCTCTGGCTCCACCACTGCCCTTTGCTGCTGCTTAGACATAGACAATACAGAGATTCAGTTACAAATACAACCTTTAAGTGTGTGTGTGTGTGTGCGTGTGCGTGTATATGTGTGTGTGTGTGTGTGTGTGTGTGTAAATGTATGTGTATGTGTATGTGTGTGTGTGTATGTACTGTATGTGTGTACGTGTGCGTGTATGTGTATGTGTATGCGTATGTGTATGTGTGTGTGTGTGTGTGTGTGTGTGTGTGTGTATATGTATGTGTATGTGTGTGTGTATATGTATGTGTATGTGTGTGTGTGTATGTACTGTATATGTGCGTACGTGTGCGTGTATGTGTATGTGTATGTGTATGTGTGTGTGTGTGTGTGTGTGTGTGTGTATGTATATGTATGTGTATGTGTGTGTGTATATGTATGTGTATGTGTGTGTGTGTATGTACTGTATATGTGTGTACGTGTGCGTGTGCGTGTATGTGTATGTGTACGTGTACGTGTGCGTGTGTGTGTGCGTGTATGTGTGTGTGTATGTACTGTATATGTGTGTACGTGTGCGTGTGCGTGTGTGCGTATGTGTGTGTATGTGTGTGAATTCGACTTTTCTTTCGGACCATCGTAGTATGTCTTGAGTCTTTGTGAATCAGACACATTTTCTCTAACTCACTCTGAACTTCACACAGACTCATTTCTCTGTTAATTGCTGAGTTCCACATTTTTAGGAGGCATAATACAAAAAACACAGGGAGAACAAACTTCACTCAGAAAGGCCCCCTTCCGACCGGGATTCGAACCCAAGATCCTGAGAAGCAAGAGTGTTATCCACTCAGCCACCGAACCAAAGAGTTTTACACGCTGCTTTCAAAGTGCTCGTGGACAAAGCAGATTGCCAAAGAATTTCAGTAGGTTGTTGCCTGAGCTCCAGAATCACAACCTTGTTTATATTTCTCATATAGAGCTTTTCATTAAGTGTCCAAGCAACTGATCCGGCCCCGAGTGAGCCTTCCTAAAGGAGCAGACGGACACCAGGCCATGAAATATAGAGATCAATTTGATATATTGTTTGTAGTGACGCAGGTCTTACCCTCTCGTTGATGCTGACGTCCGGAGCTTTAAGAGCAGGTGTCTGATCCGAATCCCTCTGCAGCGCCTGTAAGTCCCACCTGCAGTAAACAAACATTGACATTTCTGTTGCGATCATTGGACACGTGCTACAGCTTTACGTCACGACCTGACACAGTCCTCCTCGGCTTTGCTCAGTAAAGACTCCAGAGTGTTTCTCTCTCGCTCCAGTCGTCCAGTTCTTTCTCTCAACTGGGCTATTTCCCAAAGAGACTCCTTAAAACACAGAAAATACAGCAGAAATTATACATGAAATTATGGATCATATGTTTTTGTTTTAATCCCTATATGCCACATTATTGATCTAAAAGCTCTTTGTAATAGGTACAAAGAAATGGGCGGGATCAGGTGGTAGGTGAACCTGAAATTATCTGAGCAATTATTTATGGACATTGGCCATGCTGCTCTCTATGGCTCCCTACACCAATGTTATTATTCTATTCCCTGTGTTTGAATGGGTTTAATGCACGCACCACTTCACTTCCTGTTCGCGGGAAATGGCTTGAGTTTCACTGGAGTTCAGCAGTGGTTTACACAAGTTTCCCAAATAATGCTCAAACTGGAATTAAACTGTGAGGATACTGGGCATTTTTGGGACACAGCAGTGCTCTTTTGTTGTGCCGTCATTGTGTTTTTAGTGGCCACAGTCAAAGCTCTACCTCAGAGAGAAAGCACAGCCACACTTTTGGGTCAGTCTCAGCTGAATGTATGAATCTAATTATTAAAAAATAGGGCTGTCAAACGATCATTTTTTTTTTGTTGATTAATCGCATAGTAATGATTAATTGCATTTTTAACATTCTATTTCAAATCCACTCCAATTGAAGTTAAATGAGATTTTCAAATGTAATGACACATTAATATTCATACCAAATGTACTTGAATCTGTTTGACTTGCTCACAACCTTCTACTTTTGGGTAAAACCAACAAGAGCTGTTAATGAAAGGAAAAATGTAGGTACCCCAGCTTTAATTTTGCGAGTTTGGTTGCATTTCAGCGTGTCTCCTCCTCTCCTCCATCATCAGAGAACATCAGAGAATGTGCGTGTATATATATGCGTGTATTAAATGACCACGTTACCGCTGTCATTATCACACACGCACGTGTCCGTGGCATTCTGAGTGATATTATTATAAATGGGCGGGTCATTCGGACATGCGATTGACTGCCAGCCTATTTCAGAACAGGTACCCACAGAATATTGTGTACTATGACTATCTGAAATCCAAAACCAGATTCTGAAAGAATGGACTGTCTACTTTCATCAGCAAAAATAATTTTGTTTCTAGCTTGTTTCGTTCCGCTGTAATCCCCAGTCGAGTAGAGGTAAGTTTTATTGAAATCACCAGAAAGCTGAGAAAAAAGAGGCACTTGTGCTGTTTTCAAACCATTCATAGAGCAATGCTGCCATCTGCTGGCTCGATAAAATATTGCCTCAAGCCTTACATATTTGATACAATGAACATCTGGGAACGTGAAAATAGCGGGAAACGCAATCCCGTATTAGACGTCAATGGCAGTTAATGCGTTAAATATTTTTAACGCGTTAATGAAAACGGTAATTAACGTGAATTAACGCGATAATTTTGACAGCCCTATTAAAAAACGTCACTAAAACTCACCTAAATGCCATAGGATAGCATAGACAGGAAGTGAACGGGCTGATCTGCGTTAACAGGAAATGACGTCACGCCTCCCCGTGGATATAGCCCATTGTGTGATTTATTGAGGAATTGACAACGTTATAAAGTCCTCCGAGACTACTTTTATGTTTATGTTGTATTATTTAACTCATTTTTTTGTATTGTTTTGACGTTGTGTTGTATCCGAAACTTCCTGCTGTAGTGATTTAGGGCTATACAAAAATAAACTGAATTGTATTGAATGATGCAGGATTACTCTGTCTTCTGTCTTCAGTATTGTCACAGCACTGGGCTTTACTCACTTGTTTCTTCTGCTGTAGTTTTTCCAGAGCTCGCTCCACTTCACTCAGCTGAGACTTTTTGCCGCTCAGCACCGTGTCTTCTTCCAGGCATTTCTACAGTAAGATCACACACAGGCCTCAGAGTTTTAACACTCCCAGAATTATGATACTAAATGAACTCCGAGAGCCGCCATTTTGTCTGCTCCCTCAAACCAATGGAAGTCCGAGAAAATCCCCCAGTTAATATTAATATACACATTTGTTAACCATAACTCACTTTTACTAAGAGTTCAAACTAATGTGTAAAACTTGAAATACAGCAAAAACAGTTTGTTGAAATGCTACCAAATGCTAACTGCTAGCAAGTGTGTTGCTATGGTAACTATGGTGACTAACTGCTCAGTGGCGTAGAAATAAACTACACATAAAAACAGAACAAGTCTCAAAGTTAAGAAGACCAAACATGTACATATGCTGAGTATTGACACACAACATTGACATTTATCAACACTTATGGACCAATAACTTATGTGTTTTCTGTTTTATTTCTTGTGTTGGAGAATTCAACGGTTGTGTAAAGTCCTCTGTGATTTTGGGCTATACAAGCATGAACTGAATGTAATTGTGTGAATGGTGTCATAGCAGACGCTGGTCCTGACTTGCTGGAGGCCGCTGAGGCGCTGTTTCAAGGCTGCACGGTCTGAGGCGCTGCTCTCAGGTGCATCTCTCCCGTCATCCACGAGAGGTCTGTGACAAAGATAAATACATTCAAATTACAAATATCATGTATAAAGTCTGAAGAAGACCGTAGACTGGCTTTTTCCGCATTCGCAAGGAGCCAAAATGAGCATAAACTACCATGTCAGATTCAGAAAACGTAATTGTTTGTTTTCCGCGCTGGAGCATAAAATCGACTTCCTAAAAAAAAAGGCATCATTGCAAAGTCAGCGATCAGAGGATGTTTGGGCTGAGCCAGTATGTTTCAATTTCCTTATATTGAAATGAATACAATTGATTATATGGGCTTTTGTTGTGACTGGGTTAGCTTTGTGGCATAACAGGGGTAGACATGTTGCTATGGCAATATTGGGTTTCCTCCAAAGACAGTATAATCATATAAACACCAGGATCGAAGAGGGCTCAAAACCACAGATTTTAGCCCAAAATCAACAGTTATATTTATACGTTTTTTGTCTTTTGTACATTCGTTTGAAAAAGATTTTATATAGTTACTGTTTATTCCACTAAGTTGGCCGTTCCACTGTCCGTCCTCCAGACACCAGCTCCATTCCCATTTATATATAGTGACTCATTTCTGTGCAGATATTATAACATACAGGAGTCCATTTTAATATTTTACAATGGGTTCTTGGATCCCCTGCTGGGATCGGTTTCTAAGAACTTTACTTTAATCGACTTTGTGAAAAAGAGACGCTTTCAAAATTGAGTTTTCTTTAATTCTATGATATCACTCCCACAAAATCAGTTTTCTGCCCTTTTAAAACATTTACAAACATACGGCCCATAAAATAATTTGGGTAATATCATGCTGTATTATTGTATTGTATTGTAGAATTGTAAGAAGAAAAAAACTGCTCCCCCTGGTGGTGGTATCAGGAGTTACAGGCAAGGTTTTTTTTTTAACCATCGCACTTGTTTCACCTTATTTCTATTAAAGATATTACGTCCCATTCTAAAACGTTGTGACAAAGTAAATAGTCTCATTATCATTTAGAATGGTGTAATATTTGTTCTTTAAATGGAGTCTTACCTGGGTGGATCTGTGAGACGTGGAGCAGTGTGGTATTTCTCTGAATCTTTAAAACAGAAGTCGTCATAAGTGAAAATTGCCATGACACAGGTTTTCAAAGCCCCGTTTCCACCAGCCCTACCCTACCCTACCCTACTCTACTGGACCCTGAATGGGAGCGTTGCTACTGGCCCTGTTTAACTGATGCCAGGTACTTTTTTAGTACCTGCTTGGCCCTGGGTCTATCCAGGCCGAGCTGGTACTAAAGCTGTCTGACTGAGGCCAGAGTGCTGCTGGAAGCCGGAGACTGGTTTGATGTGGGTAGATTGCGAGGATACAGTAGAGAACAGGGTAGAGTGTAAAGTTCAGTAGAGTAGAGTAAAGAATAAAGTAGAGTAGAGTAGAGTAAAGGTGCACTTTATTGATCCCTGTAGGGCAGTTCTATCCTCTGCATTTGACCCATCCTGATGCCGCAAAGGCTTAAGTCAGGAGCAGTGGTCGCCGTAGTAACAGCGCCCGGGAACCCATCTCCTGATGTTAATGCTCGGCTTGGTCAGGAGTCAGGACTACCGGAGCTGGAGGATTTTACCTAGTGAGCATGTTTTTAGAGGTAGGGGAAACCGGAGTACCCAGAAGAAACCTACGCACACAGGGGAGAAAACGCAAACTCCACTCAGAAAAACCCTGTTCTGACCGGGATACAAACCCAGGACCTTCTTGCTGAGAGGCGGCGGTGGCTATCCACTCAGCCAGTATGACGAGTAGAGAGTAGGGTAGAGTAGAGTAGAGTAGAGTAGAGTAGAGTAGAGTAGAGTAGAGTAGAGTAGAGTAGGACTGGTGGAAACGGAGCTTCTGAGTGTAGCTTCTGGGTGTAGCTTCTGAGTGTAGCTTCTGGGTGTAGTTTCTGAATGTAGCTTCTGAGTGTAGCTTCTGGGTGTAGCTTCTGAGCCTGGCTTCTGAGTGTAGCTTCTGGGTGTAGCTTCTGAGTGTAGTTTCTGAGTGTAGCTTCTGAGAGTAGCTTCTGGGTGTAGCTTCTGAGTGTAGCTTCTGAGTGTAGCTTCTGGGTGTAGCTTCTGGGTGTAGCTTCTGAGTGTAGCTTCTGAGTCTAGCTTCTGAGTGTAGCTTCTGAGCGTAGCTTCTGAGCGTAGCTTCTGGGCGTAGCTTCTGAGCGTAGCTTCTGAGCGTAGCTTCTGAGCGTAGCTTCTGAGCGTAGCTTCTGAGCGTAGCTTCTGGGCGTAGCTTCTGAGTGTAGCTTCTGAGCGTAGCTTCTGAGCGTAGCTTCTGAGCGTAGCTTCTGAGCGTAGTGAACCTGTGAGCGTCCGCTGCCGTGAGGCGGTGTCTTTGCGTCGCTGACATTTCCAAAGTTCATCAAGATTTTGTAGAGATTCCACAAAACAGTTCCATTCTGCACCGAGAGAGATTAGAACAAACACGTTTAGATCTGAGACCCCAGAGACCGCCACCAGCCCCACGCCAACGCCGTCTGATGACTTTGAAGTATTCATCATATTTGACATTTGATCAGTTGTAGCTCACCTGTGAACTGGGAATTTATTTACAATGTTTTATCATTTCTTGTAAATAGAGAGAACTGAATGGATTTGAATTCACAAGTATGTTCTGTTTAAGTGGTTTTGTTGTCATCATGCTGTGTGTTATATAGATATAATATAAACAAATATATGTACCATGTATACTGTCCAGAATAGCGTCATTTATGGATCGTACTCGGGGCGACAGTAGCTCAGTTGGTAGAGCGTTGGCCTTTGAGCCAGAGGGTCGTGGGTTTGAGCCCAACTCAAGACTTTCACCATCGACTCCCACTGTCTGCTGTCGTTGTGTCCTTGGGCAAGACACTTTACTTCTGAGAACACCTGATGCCACAGTGGGGCGGCTGCGGCTGTAAAGTGCCACACTGCTGATGTGTCCTTAGGCAAGACACTTCACCCACATTGCACAGAATGAGCCTGGTGTGTGTGTGAATGGTTGGTGGTGGTGGTCGGAGGGGCCAATGGCACATACTGGTTGCCTCGCCTCTGTCAGTGTGCCCCAGGGCAGCTGTGGCTATAGTAGTAGTTTATCACCACTGTGTTTGGAGTGAATGAATAACGACATGTAAAGCGTCTTTGAGAGTCCAAAAAAGCGCTGTATAAAACTGATGCATTATTATTATCATCATTTATCAACATTGGTCTTCCGTCTCCATTTCTTGTGTTTGAAGTTTGAACTGTTTGATTCTGTGTTGGCAGTTTTGATAGTTTTGTGAAGTCCTCTGAGATAATTATATGTTTGTGATTTAGGGCTATACAAAAATGAATGGAATGGATCATAGACGAGGACTGTGTGGATGAGACTTGGGAGAGGGGAGAGGGGAGAGGGGGAGAGGGGAGAGGGGAGAGGGGAGAGGGGAGAGAGGAGAGGGGAGTTGTGGGGAAGGGGAGGGGAGTAGGGGAGATGGGGAGAGGGGAGATAGGAGAGGGATAGGGGGAGAGGGCAGAGGGGAGAGGGGAGAGAGGGGAAGAGGGGAGAGGGGAGAGAGCGAGAGAGGATAGGGGAGAGGGGAGAGGGGAGAGGGGAGAGAGGGAAGAGGGGAGAGGGAAGAAGGAAGGGAAGAGGGGAGAGGGGAGAGGGGAGTTGGGAGAGGGAGAGAGGGAGAGGGGAGAGGGGAGAGGGGAGTGGGGAGAGGGGGAAAGAGGGAAGGGGAGTGGGGAGAGGGGAAGAGAGGAGAGGGGAGAGGGGAGAGGGGAGAGAGAAAGGAGGGGACGATAGCTTGGGAGAGGGGAGAGGGGAGGAGAGAGGGAGCGGAGAGAGGAGAGGAAGAGCGGAGGTGGGAGAAGGTGAGGGGAAGAGGAGAGAGGGAGAGCGGGAGGGGGAGATGGGGGGATAGGGGGAGGGGAAAGGAGGAGAGGCGGAGAGGGGAGTTGGGAGAGGGGAAGGGGATGGGGAAAAAATATATTTGGGGGGGGGGGGGGGGGGGGGGGGGGGGGTGGAGGAGAGGGACGCGTTACGCTGGCCCGCTTGCGCAGTGGGCTCTATGTCTATAATTGCTCGTTAGCTGCATGGGACCTCTTTGCGCGTCTGCGCTGGGCTTTTTTTTGTCTCTTTCTCTTTTCCGACGGTTCGATGTGCTCTAGTCTCTGCTTACCTCTGATTGCTCTTTTCTCTTTCCTCTTACTACTTTTGGCCTCATTCTTTTTCTCTTTTCCGCTTTTCGTTTTCGATCTTTTACTCTTTTCTAAGGTTACCTCTTTTCATCACTTCCGCTGTTCGCTTGTCGCTTTGCAGGTGTCTTCGTGTGTTTCGCGGTTCTCTTTTCTATTTTCTCTCCTTTTCCTAGTATTCCCCCCCTTGCATTTTCTCCGGTGCGTCGCTGCGCGGGTCGATTATTCGCTTGTCTCTGTCTATTTTCTCTTGGCTCTTGTCTCTTTTCGGCTCTTCGCAGTGTTCGATTTTCTCTTCCGCGGCTTTCCTTTTCTATTGTACTTCTTTGCCTAGGTGTTCTCGTATCGCGGGGCAGATGGGCGCGTGGTCGCGTGGCTCTTTTCTCTCTTTGTTTCTATTGTCTCTTTGTACTCTGTTCTATTTTCTCTTGCTCCTCTTTTTGTCGCTTTTCCGATTTTTCTCTTGCTATTTTCTCGTTTACCTCTTACTCGTTTCTCGTTGCTTATTTATTCTCTTTTCGTCTTTTCCTTTTAGACTCGGCCTCTCGTGTCCTCGGGGCTAGTTTCCTTTTCTCCTTTTTATTTTCTCTTTTCCCGCCTGTGCGCTCGTTAACCTACTTTTCTCTTGCGCTCATTTTCTATGTTGTCGAGGGTGCTATGTTGCCTGGCTCTCGATGCTACTCTTTTACTCTTTCTCGTTTGTCCTCTTTTCGTCTCTTCTCTCTTATCTCTTTTTCTCTATATGCTCTTTTCTCATTTTCGCTCGCCTCCTCGTCCTTGTTTCGCTGTTTGCGCTTTTCTCTCGGCGTTGGCTCGTTTCACTCTTTTCTCGCTTCTCTGTTCTCTTGTTCGCCTTTTCGCTTTCTAATTTTACTCTTTTCACTACTTTTCTATTTTTTTGTTGTGGGTGTGGTGTGTGGGGGGTGGTGGGTGTGTTGTGGTTGTGGTGGGTTTTGTCTGGTGGCTCCGTTGTGGTGCTCGGTTCTCTCTTCTCTTTGGCTCTGTTCGCTGGGACCGTGTGTGCTCGTGCGCCTCGTCTCTTTGCTCGACCCGTGTGCGCCCGTCGCGCTTGTCTCTTTGCTCTTGTGACGATGGATCTCATGTTCTCGTTTCGTCTCGGTTCGTGATTTTTCTCTTTTCTGCTCTTTTTACTCTTCTCTCTTTTCTCTTTTCTATTTCGCTTCTCGTCATTCTCTTTTCTCGGAGCGCGAGTTCACGGCCTCTTTTTCGCGCTTCTATTTTCCCCTCTTTCTCGCTTTTCGATTGTCTCGTGTTCTACTATAGTCCTCGTGATGCTGCGGTTCGCTGTTCGCCGTGTCTCTCTGCTCTTTCGTCTTGTGCTCTTGTGTCTGTTTTCTCTGATCGACCTAATTGTCTCGGGTCATCTCTGTCCGGGGTCCTCGTCTTCTCCTGTGCTCTTGTTCCTCTTATTCTTCTCTCTTCTCTTGTCCTATTTATCGCTGGTCCGCTCGTGTCGACTTTTCTTCGTTCCTCCTTTACCCCCCCTTTGGGTGGGGCCCGGTGCTTCTACTTCGTTGGCGCTGTTGCGCGTCTCTTTTCCTGAGTGTCTATTTCTGTTTTGCGCTTTGCTACATCTTCTCGGTTCGCTTGTCGCGGTTCCTCGTCCGCTATGTTCGCGTCTCTTTTCCTCTTTTCTCATTTGCGCGCTTTTTCTATTTTCTCGTTTGCGCGGTGACTCGTGCCTTTTCTCGAGGGCGCGTGCGCTTGGCTCGGGCTCGTCTCTCGTTTGCTCGTTTCATTGTCTGCGTTTCGCTTTCCCGCGTTTATGGTCCTTTCTTTGTACTCTTGTTCTCCCGGCTCGGTAGCTCTTGTTACTCCTTTTCATATTGCTATGTGGCATTGTCTCGTTATCTCTCTTCCTTTTCCCGTCGTTTTTGCTCTGGACGCGGGGCTGCTGGCCCCGGGTTTTGTTGTTTGCTGTCTTCGGTGTCGCGGTCTGCGTTCTCGTCATCTTTGCTAGTGGCCTCAGCTCGTGTTCGCGTTGCCGCATGTTTCTCTCGTTCTTTTTTCTCTTGTGCCTAGGTTTCTCTCTTTCCTTGCTGTTACCTCTTGTACTCTTTTAAGCTGCTTGTGTTCTAATTTTCGCGTGGGAGCTCGCAGGCTATGGTTCTGCTTATCTCTCGGCGACCTGGTCTCTTTTCTCTTGAGCTTCAGTTTTCGCGCTTCTGGGTCCGTGCCCTATCTTGTCGCTGTTCGAGTGTGGCGCGTGTGTTTTGTTGTTGTCGCGTCGCTGTTTTCCATTTTCTCTTCTCGCTTTTCGGCTACTGCTTAACGGTTTGCTCTTTTCGTCTTGCCAGTTTCGCTCGTGTCTAATGCTCGGGCTAGGTGGTTTGTTTGAGCGGCATTCTTCTCTTTTCTCTTCTCTCTGTCCTGTTTTGTTTGTGTGTTGGTGGTGGGGGGTCGGGCCTCCGGTGCTATGTTCTCTTTTCTACTTTACCCCCCCCCCCTCCTCGTTGTCTCTGCTTTGCTCTGTTCTATTGTTCTCTTGTCCTGACTTAGCGTCTTTCCTCTTAACATGCGTTTCGCCGTGGCGCGCTCTATTGTCCTCTTGTCTCGTTCATCGTTTCTATTTTCTATTTCTATTTTCTCTGGTTCTTCTTCTTACCTCTTGGAGCGCGATGTACGTCTGTTCGCTTCTCTATTTGACATCGTCCGCGTGGGTCGCTGTTAACTCTTGTCTCTGCTTCTCCTTTTATCCGCGGGTAGAATGTGCTCTGGTCCTCTTGTCGCATGTCGCTGCTGCTCGCTTCCTTTTGATATTGTCCGATGTGTCTCTTGTCTCCGCTTCGATATATCGTCAGTTGGCGAGGGGCGCATTGTTCTCGCTTCCGGTTCTCTTGATCTCGTTTCTCGTTTTGCACTTTTCGATCGTCGGGGGCTCTCGGGGCGTCTTTTCTCTTATGACTTCTCTTCTCTTTGCGCGTGTCCGCCTGTTCTATGTTACGTCGTTCTCTTGGTAGCGGAGTCGCGTTTTCTCGTGTCTATTTTCTATTGTCTATGGCGTCATTTCTCCTCTGCTCTCTTCTCTTGCTCTCGGCTCTTGTCTCTTGTCTCTGGGTTCGCATGGGAGGTGAGTGGGCGTGTGGGTCGTTCTGATTTTCTCTTCTCTTTGTCTCTTGGCTCGCTTGTTCCTGCCTTCTCTTTTCTCATTTATCTCGCTTGCCGTTTCGCTATGTCCTCGCTGGCGAACGTTGCGTTGGTGGTGGTTGGCCGTGGGGGGGTGGGGTAGTGTCGCGGTGCGCTGTTCTCGGTGTCTATGGGCGATGTTGTCTAGTAGTTCGCTATTCACTTCTCCGGTCTTTGCTCTTTTCTATTTCGGAATTTTCCTTGCTATTCTCTTCGCACGTCTTTGCGCTGGTTTCCATTTCCTGTTCTCTGTCTTCTCTTTCTTGTCTCTCTTTCTCCTTGCTCTCTCGCGCTTTTTCTATTTGCTTCTTTTCTTTCTCTTTCTATGTTTCTACTTATTCTCTTGGCCTGGCTGGTTCGCTGGTCCTCTTTGCTATTTTCTCCTTCGGCTTTTCCTCTTATTCTCTTTTCTCTCCTTGCGCCGTCGTGCTCTTTTCCGACTCGTTCTCTCATTCCTCTTTGTTCTCTTATTCTCGCGGCGAGTTGTCGCTTGGTCTCTTTTCTCGGAATTCGAGTGTGCGATTTTGCGAGGTTGCTCTTTTCTCCTCAGTACTCGAGGTGCGCAGGTGGGGGGGTGGTTTGGGTGGTGGTGTGTTATGTTTTTGTTGTGGTGTGTGATGTGCTCGTTTTTCTCTTTGCTACTCGTACGGTTTTCTCTTTGTCTCCTTTTCTCTCTTTCTAGTGTTGCTCTTTTCTCTGTTTGTTGTCTCCCCCTTGTTCGCTGTTTTCTCTGATGTCGCTGGTGTTCTATTTTCCATGTGTATTTTTTTTTATTGTCCCCGTGAGTTTTTGTTGTGTCTGTTTGGTTTCTTCCCCCCATAGTTTCTCTATATTCTTTTTCACTTTTCCTCTTTTCCTTCTTTCTATTTGCGCTCTTCTTTGTCTATTGGCTCGTTGACTCTGTGTCTCGTTTCTATTGTCTCTGGGGCTCGTTTTCTCGGCGGTCTTTTTGGCTGCATTTTCTTCGGTTGTCTTCTCTTCGTTTAGGCTCTTCTACCCTGGGCGCCGGTCGCCCGGGGTGCCGCTCCCTAGTGGTGTGTGTGTGTGTTTCCTGCGTTTCGAGTAGGCCTCGTTTCTCCTCTTGACTTTTTCTTCGTTTCCCCGTGCGTTTGTTTTTTGCCCCCCTTTCTTGTTTTTTGGTCGGGTGGTTTCCCCCTTGGTTGGTGGCCCCCCCCCCCCCGTTGGCCCGTGGGCGTCCTTTTCTAGTTTTTCTACATGTTCGTATGTTCGCATTTTCTTTTTCTCTTTGCTCGTTTCTTCTTGTCCATTTGTCTCTACATGGCGTTGTCGTCTTAGTTTCTCTTTTCTGCGTTTTTACCTCTGTCTATTTCGCTTTGTCCCGCGGTGCTCGCTTTCTGTCTCGGGGCGCGTTATTCAGCTTTTGCTCGTATTCTCGTTTTCTCGTTTTCTAGCTTCTTGGTCTATTTTCTCTTGGTCTCTTGTCTATTTTCTCATTTGTCTCTCGTTACTTTTTCTAAGAGATCGCGTTTGCTCTGGCTCTGTTCGATTGGGCTCTGTTCACCTCTGTATCGTCTCGTCGTTTTGCTATGGTCTCTGTTGCTTCTTGACTGTGCCCCCACCCTGTGTGTCCGTGTTGGTTTTTTGGTGGCGCCGGCTGGGCTCTTTTCTCGTGTTCTTTCGTGCTATGTTTGCTGGCTATTGCTCTGTCTCTTTGTTCGAGTTTCTCTTTTCTCGTTCGCTGTCATCTTTGTCGCTTTCTCGTGTCTCGTTTTTCTGTGGTTGCGTCTTTTCTCCACTTGCTCGCGTTCTGACCCGGGAGCGCGTGTGCCTCTGGAGAGCTCGCGTATTGTTTCTTTTTCTCTTTTCCTCCTTTTCTCGATGTCGCGCTTCGCTCTTTGCGTCTTTTCTCATTTACTATTTCTCTCTTGCTCGGTTCTCGCTTTTCGCCTCTTCTCTTTTCGCGGGGCTCGTCGGCGCTTTTCTCATTCTTCTTCGAGTCTTCGGCTCAGGGGCTCAAGGGGGGGGCGTTGCGCTTGTGCTCTGTTGCTCTCTTCCTTATTCTCTTTTCGCGGTTCTCGTTGCGCTTTGTTCTCGTCGATTTGCTCACGGCGCTGTTCATGTGCCTCATTATGTCTCTTGTTCGCGTCTATTGTCTCTCTTCTTTCCCTCCTTTGTTCCTCTCTTCTCGTCTTGCTCTGTTCGTACTCTTAGCTCTTTCATCGTATCTCTCTTGCTCTTTCCTCTTTTCGGCGCTTGCTGCTTTTCTCTTTTCTCTTTCTCTTTTTCCTCTTTGCTCTTCTATTTTCTGCCGCTTCTATGTCTCGTGGATCCGATGGGTGGTGGGGAGGTGTGTTTTGTTGTTCCCTGTGCTTTTTTGTTGTTTTCCGCGGGTAGCTTTTTCTTTTGCGCTTTGCTGGTTCTCGTTGTGCCTTTTCTCCGTTTCTCTTCTATCTGAGGCTCGCTCTTTTCTCGGTTGCTCTTTTTCGGCTGGCTCGTCGCGGGTGGTCAGCTTGTGCTACTTTCTTTTTTCGCTTTTTCTCTCTGTCTCGTTTCCGCTTTTCTCTTTTTTCCTCAGCGGCCGCGCGGCTAGTTGTCTATTTTGCTCCTAGTTGCGCGTTTTGCTCGTTGTCTCTCTTCTCTGTTTACTCGTTTTCTCTGGGTCGAGTGTCTCTCCAGTTTGTGTGTGTTAGTCTCTTTCTCAGTTGCTCTCTGTCTCGTTTGCGTCGTGTTTCCGACTTTTTCTCGTTTCTCTTTATCTCGTAGCTAGGCTCGCTATCCATCTGTTGCTGATACTCTTTCTCGTTTATCCTGCTTTGGCTCCCTCTTCTCATTTTTATCTTCTTAGTGCGCTTGTCTGCTTTTCTCTTGGCTTACTTCTATTTTTACCTCGTGCGTCGTTGCCTTTTACCGCTCTTTTCTCTTTTGCGCTCAGTGAGCTCTCATCGTCTCTGCGTTTCTGCGGTGCCTCTGCGGCTGTGGGTCAGAGTTTTAGGCGCTTCGTGCTTTTCTCTCGGCTCTCTTCGCAGGTCGCGCGGCGCGGGGCTCTCCGGACCTGTGCCGCTGGCTGCCGGTGCTCGTTTCTCGGTTTCTCTCTTCTTAGTTTTCGCGCGGCGGTGCTCTGATGCTCTTTTCTCTTGTTCTCTTTTTTCTCTTTTCGTGTTTCTCTTATCTCTCTCTTCATTTTCTCCGCTGCTTTGTCTCTGTGCCGCTTTTCTCTGTGCTCTTCTCTTGTTCTCTTTTCTCGTGGCTTTCTTTCGCTGGGGGGGGGGGGGGGGGGTGGGGGGAGGGGGGGGGGGGTTTTGTTTTTTGGGTTCCCTTCTCTTAAATCCTCTTTTCTCAGTGCTATTTGCGCCGTTTACTGCTCGTTCGCGTTTCTCGTTTCTCGTTCTTCTCGCTCTTGGCGGCGGGTCTTTCTCCAGCCCCTGGATTAGGTACTTCTGGGCGAAGCAGTCACCACATAGGCGATAACCCCCGCTCGAACCCCCATGCAGGCACGACACAAGGAATTCCCTGTCTTATTACCAACCTTATGGCGCGGCACTAGGTGCCCTATGAGCGCCTCTACCCGCGAAAACGACACACCCGCTAAACTGACTCACCTTCCACCTCGCTATCTGTCCTTAATACAGTTATTACCTTCCTACAAGCTGTGGAACCCTGACTATTATGTTTCATAACTGCCACATGCTGTTTTGTCCCAACAGAAGGTAAACCATGTTCAGACCCACACAGAACCACAACAGGCTGTCATTCACATTTTGTAAGAAAAAGAGGCTTAAACCAGTAATTATAGCTTTGGCCCGAAAGCATATTACATATATTATTCCCTGGTCAGTAAAATATGCCGCTTAAATAAAAAAATAATCAAATACTAAGATAAAAATAAATAAATAAACATGCATATAATCTTTTAACATAAAAAACAATCTATTAACTAAAAAAAAAAAAAAAGAAAAATGTGAACAACAAGTGAACGAAACTAAAATACTTTGAGAGATGGATTTTATGACATAGTTTCATTTGTGCTGTTTGAAAGTTAGATACCCCAACTTTAATGTTTGGCCCATAGACTATTAGCCTGGTCGTACCACACCAATACAAAATTAGCATTTCGTACTAATGTCAGGAGGTGCTCCAATGACTCCTGAGTATACCAGGTGGAGGGGATAAACACCTTTTGCATATTGAAACCATTGGATCTAAAAAAAAAAAAAAAAGAGTTTACGCATGGGGAAAACGTAAGTACTGCGCCCAGTCTGTCGTTAAGCAATTAGCATTTAGCCTAGCTTAGCCTCTCCTTGCCGCTAACGGAGCCCGTGGGAGTAGCGCCACAATATTACCGAGATTACATTTGCAAAACATTCCTCTTGCTCCGCTATCAATTTCTTGATAAGAACCAGACCGGATTCTTACTAACACATTTTTTCATTCACACCTCATTGCCAAACTACAACTTGGGGGGCTGCCTGTTCAGGCGGGGGGGGGGCGGGGGGGCGACGGCAAACACTGACACACGCCACAACTAACAACAGACACCAGCCCCCGGTGGTGTGTCCGCACTCGATTGGTCGGTTCGAAGAAATTTCAACCCCTATTAAGTATCGCGAACACAGGACCATACCTCAGACGTTACATGGCAGTGAGAAGAATGAGCTGCAGTGAACGGCGATGATAAGGCCCACGCAAACAACTGTGTGTCTTTCTAGTTTAGGCCACTTGCAACAGCCAATACAGGCAACTTGGCATTCACAATACACAACAATCTAACGCGTTGGGTCACGAGGCCAAAACCTAACTTTAAGCCCCCTCACCCTTTGTATATAGGATATAGCAAA